TCAGAGTCCCAAAGAAGTTAGACCCAAGAAAACACACACCAAGGCACATCATAATTACATCACCCAAAATTAAAGATAAGGAGAGAATTTTTCCCCCAGATTCTATTTATTTATCTTTAGAGGGGAGGGGAAGAGAAGGAGAGAGGAAGAGAAATGTCAATGTATGGCTGCCTCTCATGCATCCCCTGCTGGGGACTGGCCTGCAACCCAGGCACGTGCCCTGACTGGGAATCTAACCGTGATCCTTTGGTTCACAGGCCCCCACTCAATGCACTGAGCTACATCAGCCAGTGCAGGAGAGAATCTTAAAAGCAGCAAGAGAAAAGGAGATGGTTACCTACAAATGAGTTCCCATAAGACTGTCAGCTGACTTTTGAAAAGAAACTTTTGTAGGCAAGAAGGGGCAGGAAAGAAGTATTTAAAGTCATGCAAGGCAAGGACCTACATCCAAGATTACTTTATCCAGCAAAGCTCACATTTAAAATGTAAGGGCAGGTAAGGTCAAGTTAAAGGAGTTCATTATCACCAAGCCCTTGTTACATGAAATGTTAAAGGCACTTATTTAAGAAAAAGAAGATGATGAAAAATATTAAAAGTAAAATGACAACAAACTCAAAACTATCAACTGAACCAAAAACAAAAACAAACTAACCAAACAACTAGAACAGGAACAGAATCACAGAAATGGAAATCACACGGAGTGTTGTCAGTGGGGAGGAGGAAGGAGAGAATGGGGGAAAAGGTACAGGGAATAAGAAGCATAAATGGTAGGTACAAAATAGACAGGAGGAGGTTAAGAATAGCATGGGAAATGGAAAAGCCAAAGAACTTACATGTATGATACATGGACATGAACTAAATTAAGAGGGGAGAATGCTGGTACAGGGGTGCAGGGGAGGGAAATAAAGGGGAAAACATGGGACAACTCTTATAGCATAATCAATAAAATACACTTTTAAAAAATGTAAATGGAGTAGTAAGTGGAATGGATTTTTTTAACCAAACAATTTATTAATAAACTTTAAACAAGATGTTCAGATAACCCAAGTTAACCCATATGCAACTACAATATTGCATTTTAACATTTTAACCACCTTCTTTCTCATTTAGTATCTTTACTATACCACTTACCATATTCTCTTAGGTATTACATTTCTTCATGGTTCCCTCCGTTCCATGGTTAGGCTGCATGCAATGGTGTACACACAAAGTAGGTATTACAGATTTTGAATTGAACATTTCTGCTCTTAAAAATAATATCTGTAAGACTTTGGCTAGGGGGGAAATGTCATTACTGCTTTTGATTTCCCCACTTTGCCCAGTTATGTATTTGGTTTCTGCAGACAGTGAGCAATTTCTCTGTTAATAGTGTTGGACTTAACACAGAGTGCCAGGAACCTTGTTTTAATAACTAAATCATTTAATCTATCATCTATTTTTATTTTACCTATTGATAAAATGGAGCTGTTCTTTGAAGTTATCAGGTCTTAGTATTTTTGTTTTAAAAATCCCTACTCAAGGATATGTTTGATTATAGAGGGAGAGAGAAAGAGGGAGGAGAAGAGAGAGATACCAATGTGAGAAAAACATTGATTGGTTGCCTCCTAAACACACCCAGACCCGGGATGGAACCACAACCTTTATGTGTACCAGATGGTTCCAAATGACTGGCCCGCCCAACCTGGGGTTTAGTGCTTTTACTTACAAACTTAGGAAGATGGGAGTGTTAATATAAAGCAGAAAGTTCTGTCTTTTTGGAGCTGTGGGAAAACAGTAGTTGAACAATATATTGGATTTTTTTCTGCCACTTTTTTTTGAGTTTTTAAATATATTTTATTAATTATGCCATTACAGTTGTTCTATTTCCCCTTCATTCCCCTCTACCCTGCACATCCCTCCCTCATCATTCCCCCCCTTTATGACCACGTCTCGAGTTCTTTAGATTCTATATTTCCCATACTATTCTTGCCCTCCCCCCTATCTATTTTCTACCTACCATCTATGCTACTTATTTTCTGTACCTTCCCCCCACGCTTCTCTTTCTCCCACTCCCATGTTGCTAACCCTCCATGTGATCTTCATTTCTATGGTTCTGCTCCTGATCTAGCTGTCCTCTTAGTTTGCTTTTGTTTTAGGTGTACTTCTTAATAACTGAGTTTGCTGTCCTTTCACTGTTCATCTTTTTTATCTTCGATAAGTCCCTTTAACATTTCATATAATAAGGGCTTGGTGATGATGAACTCCTTGAATTTGATCTTATCTGAGCACTTTATCTGCCCTTCCATTCTAAATGAAAGCTTTACTGGATAGAACAATCTTGGATGTAGGTCTTTGGATTTCATGACTTGGAATACTTCTTTCCAACCCCTTCTTGCCTGGAAGGTCTCTTTTGAGAAATCAGCTGACAGTCTGATGGGAACTACTTTGTAGGTGACTGTCCCCATATCTCCTGCTGCTTCTAGGATTCTCTACTTCATTTTCATCTTGGCTAATGTAATTATGATGTGCCTTGGTGTGTTTCTTCTTGGGTCCAACTTCTTTGGGACTCTCTGAGCTTCCTAGATTTCCTGGAAGTCTATTTCCTTTGCCAGATTGGGGAAGTTCAGAAGGGGAAGAGGAACAGCCAAGAGTGGAAAACTTATTTGAACAAATACTAAAGGAGAACTTCCCCAGTCTGGCAAAGGAAATAGACTTCCAGGAAATCCAGGAAACTCAGAGAGTTTTTTGCCACTCTTATTAGATTTAAACCTAAAATATTTTCAGAAACCATTCTGTTTTCCAAAAACATATCAGACATACCTATAGAGCAGCTGACAGTAGCAGTTAGTATTATTTTAATGCATTCTTTCTCTGTTTTACAGATTTTAAAAGTAGTATTTTAACCTCTTTTTGAAATTAATTTTTACCTTGTACAAAATAGCGTGACAGGTCAGTTGTTTCAATCACCTTTTACATTTCAGTCTGTATTTATCATAGACTCAGAAGTCCTGTATTTTGCAGCTGGTTGATTAAAAACAAAAGAATTGTACTTTTCCTTTTTACCTTCAGTGGTCTCTGGGGATGTACTTGGGCCCAGCGTTGCCAGGCACCTGCCATTTGCCTCTTCCTCTTTTAATTGAATGGCAGGCTCATAGTGCAGGATTGCATCCAAATCACAGAAGAATTTCACAGTTTTAGAGCTGTCTCCAGAGTTGTGAGCACATTTAACTGTTCTATATTTGTATAGGAGATTTTTGGACTTTGCCAGGCACTGCTCTCAATCTCTGTATACTCCTAGAGCTTGCAGCCTCTTAGCAATGTAAATAAGTATTCGTTTATTTCTCGGTGTTCCATGAAGTTTTCTTCATATATATTTTTTCTGCTCACTTAGCAAGCAAAGCTTTAACCTCTTCAGTCCAGTGCTTTCCTGCTCCACTCTCCATGTTGAAAGTGACCAGGAAATTATTTACTAATTCTAGCCAAGGTTTTGTTACCTAGGAAACCAGACACTCATTTTCAGTAAGCTCTTAAGTGGCTGGAAGGATCTAGTTTAACTGGTACAAGCTGCCTGAGGGGAGTAACTTGAGAAATTGCCAAATAAGCAGGCTTTGTGATTAAAGAAAACTGGACCTAAATGATTCCTGACCTTATTCATTTCAGCTTTTAAGGGAAAAAATTACCCTTGAGACAGAAGGGAAAGAAAACCATTTTTAAATAAGATTAATTTTCTTACATAATTTAGTCTAGTTTACTATATGATTGTTGATTTTTTTTAATTGGGCCAGAAATTGTTTGGCAGAGATTCTTTCTGCCCTAAGGTTTATCATTTAGGCTAATTTCTTTTCCTCTGATAACAAATCTCTCAGTCAGTTTTTTAACTTATAAAGACCCCATCATTTCCCTAAGTAAATCCTAAATCATAAATAATTCAGTCTGTTAGGGTGTGTAATTTTTTCAGCATAGTATTTAATGCATTGATAATTTAGTAAAATCATTTCGATTATAATTTTTTACTTTCCAAGTGCATTTTAATGTAGTTTTTCTTTTATTGAAATGCCTAATTATAATACGTAATTTTGAGATTCTTTTTACAAATAAATCAGTGTATTAATGTATACATACATAAATGGTAGAGATTTACTTTATTTCTTAACTGATATTTATTCTTTGAAACAAAATTTTATTAACAGACATCCAATACTTACAGCTCTTGTTGAGAACCATTAAACACTGCTGAACAGTTAGAACCTTTATTTTCTCATTTGAGTTTGTACTCCACAGTGGTGCAGACCCTCTGAGCCTTATCATGTGTTCCCCACCTCCGGGGTGGCTTTTGGTTTTCTTCTCTGTGTCATCACCTAAAATTACTAATGCAGGAAATGAGATACAGATTGCCTGGTTAGATTTAGGTTTTTAAATGCAGCATTTTTTTCTGACAATAAAAGTGTCCTTTGTTGGAAAAAATTTGAAAAGTGTAAGAAAGCAAAATCAAAATTAATAAATTTTTCTTATAGTTCCAGTATTATAAGCAAGCACTTTAACTGCTATGTTATTTGGAGATTTTTGTGTATAGCTATGTACTTATCTACATATTCAACCTCGTTTAGAGGTCACACAGTACAGAGTTAGAAGCACAAATTCTGGGGTTCAGATTGTCTGTTCTAATCCTGGTTGTTCCACTTGTGTATGATCTTGGACAAGATATTTAAATTCCATTTCTTTAGTGTCCTCATCTCTAAAATGGGAATGGTAATCAGAGTAACTACTTCATAGGATTGTCGTGAAAGCCTATTAAGTGAAATCATTCATGTAAATGTTTAAGACAGTGCCTAGCATATTAGAAGCCAGACAATATCGTCTACTGCTATTGCAGATTATTATCATGAGTAGCAGTGACCACTACTAGTAGCATTTAATGTGTGGTCAGACTGAATTCATCAGTTCTTCTGAGAGAAGGATGTTTCCTAAAGTTGATGACCTCAGTGGTGTAAGTTTAAGTCCATATCTTTTTATATTCGCAGGGGTCAGGAGAGTGCTGGTATTGTCACCAGTGATGGGAATTCAGTACCAACATACAGAACACACAAGGTATATTTGAATATAAAAAAAGTTGATTACAAAGGTAACAACAGCCAGATGTTAACTAATATATGAGGGTGGGAGAAGGAAATTTGAATAAATAATTTGCACATAAAAGTTAATCTTTGTCTCAACCATTTCTATTTGTCAAATTAGGATGCATTTCTTTCCCAGTGATCATTTGCTAGACTGATGCAAGCAGGTCATATATTTAAATACTTTTAACATGCTTTGAATTTTTAAAATACAAATAGTTTATGATATTTGACAAGTTTTATGCTTAATACACCAGCCCTTCAGATTCAACATTGTGAATGTATTAAATGCCACTGAATGGTTTTCTTTACAGTGGTTAGTTTATTATGTGAATTTCACCTCAATTTTTAAAAAATGCTTTACAGTTCTTACAGTTAAGTCCTTTTTTAAGATTAGCATTCTGAAGCACAGAGAAATTAAGTGAACTGCTTTGTTTAATTCGGGAGTGCCTGGGCAGGGTCTTAATAAAGCCTCTACTCACTAGCCACTAGTCTGTTTTTTTTCCTAAGATGAGTTTTTACTTTGACTTTGCAAGGGAATGGGTCTCATAAATCATGTCTTTACTGAAGACAATTTGAAGAAATTATATACTTCAAATCTTGGAATTGGACACACGAGGTACGCTACTACAGGAAACTGTGAATTAGAAAACTGTCAGCCCTTTGTCGTTGAAACACTCCACGGGAAAATAGCTGTGGCACACAACGGTGAATTGGTTAATGCTGCTCGATTAAGGAAAAAGGTAAGTTTCCTTTAAAATTTTTTGAAAGATTTATTTATTTTTGGACATAGGAGAAGAGAGGGAGAGAAACATCAATGTGTGGTTGCCTCACACACAGCCCCACTGGGGACCCAGCCCACAACCCAGATTTGGAAAAAGTTGATTTATGGTTGCTATTAGAAGCACGAAGTCAGGGTTCTTAGTTTATGGACTCTTAACTATCACCTTAGCTTTGTCCTAAAAGCATAAGAATAAATGGAGTGTAAACCTGCAGATGATAAATATAAGAAAAAATGATATGGAAATAATTATAGGACACAGCCTGAGAAAGGGGCAAAGCAAGTTATATTCTGTTTTGTTCATATCATGGTTTTTGGAGCTTTGTGTTTTATTTATTTATTTATTTATTTATTTATTTTAAGATTTTTCTTTTTAGAGAGGAGAAATGAGGGTAAAAGAGGGAGAGAAACATCAATATGTGGTTTCCCCTGGTGTACCGCCCAATGGGGACCTGGCCCGCAACCCAGGTACCTGCCCTAGACTAGGAATCGGACTGGCAACCCCTTGGTTTGCAGGCCAGCACTTAGTCCATTAAGCCACACCAGCCAGGGCTGGAGCTTTTGGTTTTTATTGTGACTATCTCTTTTCATCTGTCATCCCCCCCCCCTTTAAACTACCTGGTATTTTTATATTCCTGGTAGCTTCTTACTCATCCATTATTGCCATTCATTAATAAATGCCAAGGTTCTTCAGTTTATTAGGTTCCAATAATCTTCATTTGGTAACCCCAAATAAAAACCTCAGGCAGTATTTAATAATAGGTAACACACACACACATTCTCTCTGCCACCTCCATCCCCCAACCCCCGCCATTATCTCTTTAGCATTTCACAACCAGGCACTTCACACTAGATTAATAGTTAAACAAGTTGATGGTGAATCGATGGGTGAAAAATACTTAGAACCCACATTTCTGTACAACTTGTCCTTCTATTTTCGATTCTAACTTATTTCCCAGAGCTTTGTCCTTCCTGCTCTTAGGCTCTGGCATTCTAAATAACAATAATATGTAGGTTTTTTTGTCCCCAAATTAAAAAATTTTTAAATTCAGATAGAAAAATATAAAAATGAAATAAAATTAATTTAAAACTCACCACTTGGAGATAACCACTACAAGTTCAGTTCAATTGCTAGACGTAACACCTTAACCCAGATGCCGGACTTCATCTGTAACATCCAGCTGCTCCCTGCAAATGTTCTGTAGTGTCTGTTTAACCTCAGCCTCTGCATGACGGTGGCGATGCCCTTGTCCTGGTCAGACTTTCTCAGAACCTCCTCATCGTCAAAGAGTGTACCCAACCAGATTTTATTACATCTTTTACACGTGATTGTTCAGTACAGCTGACTCCTTTCTTCTGCTCTATCAGTGGTTAGTAATCAGTGAGCCAACAAACCTGGCTTGAGGGCCCCCGCTCTAGTGTGCCAGTCTCGGGGGAATGTGTCCTATTTGTCAGCAGTGTCGGGCTGAGAAAGTCAGCGCCACATTCCGAATCCTTATGCCTTCTCAGCCCTTCTCTCCTCCTTTGCAGCTCTACATTCTTTCATACTTAGCTTTCAAAAGCTTTCCTATACACTTCCTAAAGCACTTTTTTCCCTGCCTGAGAGCCTTCAGAGACCAACTTCCCGAGCTGTTCTCTGTTATCATATGCACATACCATTTAACAGAAGGCAGGATTTCCATAACTCATCATCCACACAGTGCCTTATCTCTTCCTATTACGGCGGGCTACTGGGTGAGGAGTGCAGTGCAGTTCTAATGATTACACTTTTCTGCCTTCTAACTAGCTTCTGCGCCATGGTATTGGTCTGTCAACAAGTTCTGACAGTGAAATGATCACCCAGTTACTGGCATATACCCCTCCTCAGGAACAAGATGATACCCCAGACTGGGTAGCAAGGTAAATGAAGTAAATTTAAGCTTGCAGCTCTCATAATGAAAGCTTTGCCTAGCATGTGGTTATAAATGAAATTATTCATTTAATTATTTAATTAATTCTAGGATTAAAAACTTAATGAAGGAAGCACCCACAGCATATTCCCTACTTATCATGCACAGAGATGTTATTTATGCCGTACGAGATCCCTATGGAAATCGTCCTCTATGCATTGGTCGTCTTATTCCTGTATCTGATATAAATAATAAAGGTAATGAATTTCAGAAATTATAATCTCCTAATGCTTTTTCTAACTCCTGGTTTTTTGGCACACGCTGAAATTGTTATGTATATTGGAAGCATATGAGTAAGAAGGGGCTGGGTGAAAAAGAAAAAAAATGGTACTTATTTTTAAAGTATATTTCCTCAAGTATTTCAGACAATGAGTCACTTTTAATCAAGAGACATTCTTAATTTTTCCTATCTAAATTGCCTATTCATATCCTTGCCTAGCTTTTTCATTTGTGATTTCCGTGATTTTTCTTCTTGATTTATCAGGTCTTGTTTGAGCCATGAAATGCTTGAAGGAATCTTGGGATCATTAATTTTTATCTTTGGCTCAAGGCACATGAGGACCCATGTGCTCTTAAAGTCATGGAAATGGATATTCTATGAATTTTTTAAAATTATGTATCTATTTGGTATTTAATTGTCTTGAAATGGGCAGCCTCTTTTAAAATTTCTTGAATCCATTAACTGAATTGTCTTGTGATTTACAGAGAAAAAGTCTTTAGAAACGGAAGGATGGGTGGTGTCTTCAGAATCTTGTAGCTTTTTATCTATTGGTGCAAGGTAGGTTTTCTTATTGAGTGTATTAGATTTTTCCACATCAACAAAAAATTTAAAAAACCTTTACATACAAGTTTATTTTGATGTCTCCTAGAAGACGTATTTATAAATGCAGGGTTTTTTGTACATGGTGCTCAGCATTTACACTGACGTTAAAGTTCCAGTAGTATTTTCTAATTCTGAAACTGGCATTTTGCTTTCAAAATGCCACGAGACATTTTAGAAAGGAAGAATTCTCCTCAACAAGGAAGAGCTATGATAAAAAATTAAGCCAACATAAAAATGTTCTCTAGCCTTTATTCTTTGAAAAATCAATAAAAGTTAGGCCTTTTCTTTCCCCCACCCTCATGTACAAAGAGGTTTTGTGGGTTTTTTTTTTAAGTTAGAATTTAGGGGTACATTTACAGAAATTACTGCTACAGGAGTATTATTTATTTTTTAAAGCCATTTCTAGACTTTATATTAAACTAAACCATCTTTCCTTTATAAGGGGAGGGGACTCTGTGTACTTTATAATAAATATTATCAGCCTTAAGTTTATTTAAAGTCTTTTTAAACACTTTCCTAAGATATTACCGTGAAGTCTTACCTGGAGAAATTGTGGAAATATCTAGACATAAAGTCGAAAGTCTTGCTGTCATACCAAGGTCTGGAGGAAACCCAATGGCTTTTTGTATCTTTGAGTATGTTTATTTTGCAAGACCAGATAGTATATTTGAAGGTGAGTAAAATTTCTTTATTAATATAAATCTGTTATCTCATTACACAAAGGCATATCTGGCTCTTTGAAGGCACATTGTAGATATGGCACTAGGTCTCCCAAGTCATAAGATCACAATTTTTTCCTTTTATATGACTCTTGGGTATTATTGTTCCTTAAGGAGTAAGCATTAATACTGGTCTTCATATATGTATTGAGGTCACTTTTTCAAAAACAGTGAATTTCCGAGTTTATGTATTCACACTTCAGTGTTTTTGTAAGTCTTTTTGTACTCAACCTGTAGAGTTCTAACAAGGTAGTTTCTTAGAATAGTGATATAATTCTGTGTTATGTTATACTATGTGAAAATAATCAATTTCCTTTTCAAACATTACAGACCAAATGGTTTACACAGTAAGATACCGGTGTGGGCAGCAGCTGGCAATTGAAGCCCCTGTGGATGCAGATTTGGTTAGCACTGTGCCAGAATCTGCTACACCTGCTGCTCTTGGTTATGCTGGAAAGGTATTTTCTCTTAACACTCAGTGAATTGTTCTTCTAGCAGTGGAACTGGGATTCCTTGTATGTAAAGAGAAAGTCAGTTTATTGTTAAGTAAAAAGAAAATGTTTGTTCCTTTACAAGAGTTACTTATTTTCCAGCCTTTTCATTCCATGGTATTGTTTTAGTGGAGTCCACAGAAAGGTTTACCTGAAGACTAGGAGAAGGGTCTTCATTTAAAAAAATAACATCATGAATATATATAGATATTCCTCAATGTTCACTATGTTGAAAAGTTTGACTTACTAATTTTTAAAAGAAACAATGTGTGCAAGTTTTAGAGAAGTATAGCCTTGAGATGGATAAATCACCTCCTAGACTGAATTTCCTTAGTCTCTGGTTTTAAATGTTATTTTTTCTGACAGTAATTTATTCTTTGTCATGTCTTTACATGCTTAGTGTTCTCTTGCATTATAGAGAAATCATATTTGAAAGAGAAGCATTACAAATTCCAGCACAGTGAATTGGTTTTCCCACCAAGTATATTACTTACAGTGACTTTTCTTTTTGCCTTTTCCCCCTACAGTTTAAATAATGAAGGAAAATTGTAGTTTCATAACACAGATTACAGAATAACATTTTAAATTTTTACATACACATTGAAAATAACTTAGAGAAAATAGGAACCAAAGTTCTCTGTATATTGCTGCTCATTGTCCTTTTACTTATTCTCTGTCAGTGTGGGCTTCCGTATGTTGAGGTACTATGTAAAAACCGGTATGTAGGAAGAACCTTCATTCAGCCAAACATGAGATTAAGACAGCTTGGTGTTGCAAAAAAGTTCGGAGTATTGTCGGACAACTTTAAAGGCAAAAGAATTGTTCTTATAGATGATTCAATTGTGAGAGGCAATACCATCTCACCCATAATCAAGTTGCTCAAAGAATCCGGTGCAAAAGAGGTAAGTACTATTAAAACATATCCCAAAGCACCAATAATTAACAGTATGGTACTGGCATAAAAATTGCAATTCAGGACAGTGAAGGAAATGTATAGTTCAATATGATAAACTGACATTTTTCAAATTAAGTGTGTTTAGAAATAACTGCAGCATTGTGGAAAGCATGTAATAACCATTCTCAAACTACATAATTAATTCTTAATAGATTACAAAGCTCAGTAGAAAAGCTTAAAGTTTTTAAAAATTAATTTAAAAACTAACCAAAGCTACAAAACAGTACTTTTAAGTTTTTAGAGTATTAATTACTTTCTTCTTTGAAGATATAGAAACAATCCTAGTGTGATAAATTTGACACACTAGGTTACATTTTTAAATTGCAAAGCTTATTCTAACTATTGCAGTAATTCAAATTACAGAAGTGAGATAGCACTTACGATTAATAGTTGGATGCATTTAAAAATCAAATCTAGTGTAGGAGAAAGTAATATAGAAAGCAGTATGACTATATTGAGAAAGCTTCAAAGATAATTATGATTTTTCATCCTTTTTTATGACTGGTTATAATCTGGAATTCTGTGAAAACTAATGTAATAAAAACAAAGGTATAAAGCAAATTCAACATCTATTACAGTAATAAGAAAAATTAAAGACAAAAGAAGGAGAAATGGCTTATATATCTACCAGTAGGAAATAGTTTAGTAAATTGATACATCAGTATGATGAAGTATAATGCAACAAGTAAAAAGACTTCATAAGGAAGACTTCATAACTTGGGAAAATCTTTGTTGTTATAACAATGATAAAAATTTAATGTGGACATTGATTACAGCCATGTAAATACACCTGATAAAAGGCTGACAATAACAGACAAAGTAGACAAAAACAGCTCTTTATAATAGGAAGGATTTTTGTTATGTCCTGATAGTTGGTTATCCTTCTTTTTAAAAAGGTAAAATAAGAATGGTGGGCAAAGGGGCCATTTAAGTGTTACAAGAGAAAACGGAGATGGTCCTAGAAAAATAAAGTTGTTACATGATGAAAAGTCGGAGAACAGAAGAAATGTCCTCGTTGGTAGGTGACAGAAGGAAGCAGTGGACAGCCCTGTAACAGGGATCCTCCTTGATGAGTGGCTGACATTTTGAAATTCTTGTCCTGGACACTTTGGAATCTAGAGCAGGGCTATTCAGATAGGATTCTTTAGTAATGAATGAATTCTAAAAGTAGTTTTGACTGAATGTTGGAGTTCTGTTTGTACACCGCATGATTTTTCAGGATTCCTTTTCGTCTACCATTCAACAACAGAAATTTTGTAGTTTGCTTTATTTCCCATTATGTTGTTATTGAATAGTCTGTAAAAAATGGTTTTATGTTAACATTTGTTAGTGACAGCGTTTTGTGTAATTATTTTAACAATGAGGGTGTGAAATGGTTTCTTTCCAAGGTACATATTCGAGTAGCTTCACCACCAATTAGATATCCATGCTTCATGGGAATCAACATACCAACAAAAGAAGAGCTTATTGCCAATAAACCAGAATTTGAGCAGCTTGCTGAATATCTTGGTGGGTATTGAAGTTCCTGTAAACTTTGTTTTCAGTCTTTACACTTTTTTAATAAAAAAGTGTTAAGTCTTTGTTAAAAGTAGATGCTGTCCTATGTTGAGCAGATAGATATTGAACATTACTCTGAATAGTGAGGGTGCCTGGTGTACAACACACCACAGTTAGGTGCTATGTTGGAGAGCGGGGTCAAGGTGAGGTCAGAGACAAAGGATGAAAGGCTTTTCAGGCAGAGGAAATTGCATGCGGATATCAGTTACAGTCTCCCAAAAGTCAGATCCTAAGAAAAACAAAAATGACTTCACCACCGATTCTAGTAGAATAATTTGGATGTGGATACAAATAAAGTGAAGCGCTTATGTCAGTTTATCTTTAATAATGAGGCCAGAAGACTTGCAGAGCTAGGTTATCCTGCATAAGACATTTGCCTTTTAAATTCAGGTGAAGTATAAACTATTTCAACGGCACACAGATATTCAGCCAGTGTTCTTTTCACTGGTTATGCTTATGCCATGCCAGTTAAATATTTTGAATATCACCCAGTTGCTACATTGTGAGCACTCACCCTTCTAGGAATGTATCTATATTATTTTAATAACATATCTATATTATCACCAAACTCTACAGTGAAGCAGTGTTTCCCTTATCTTAGACTTAGGAAGAGAACCCGGATTTTCTTGACTTCAAAATCTGTTTTCTTAATCATGAAAATTACCCCTGAAGCCTTGCGAATCCATTCTAGACTTGACTTGAAGCGTTCACTGCTTTTTAAGTCATGTTGTCTCCTAAACTCCAATTTAAAATTTAATAATAAAGGCCTCAAGATTTATCGATTTCTTTTGCACACTTATTTTTTAAATTTGTTTTAATTTTTTTATGTGTTTAAGAGAGAGGTAAAGGAGAAATTTTTAACCTGGCTTAAGTTTCTCTTTGTAACTATTCTCTTTTATTTTTTGTTTTTATTTTTAACTCATTTTATTTTTTTGGACGGAGACCTACAGTCTTATTTTTTCTTTACAATTTTGAGAAAGGGAGGGAGGGAGGGAGAGAAAGAGCCATTGATTTGGTGTTCCACTTATTTATACCTCCACTGATTGAATCACTTTATGTGCCCTCACCAGGGATCAAACCTGCAACCTTGGTATATCAACCTTGGTGTATTGGTTCAGTGCTCTAACCAACTGAGCTACCTGGCCAGGACCAGGTCTTTCGTTTCAAGAGAAGTCTCACATCCTTTTCCTTTTCCCTCTTTTCCCCTACAGGAGCAAATAGCGTTGTATACCTGTCAGTAGAAGGACTGGTTTCATCTGTACAAGAAGGGATAACATTTAAAAAGCAGAAAGTGAAAAAGCAAGATATTATGATTCAGGAAAATGGGAATGGTGTGGAATGCTTTGAAAAGAATGGTCATTGTACAGCTTGTCTCACTGGAAAATACCCTGTGGAGCTGGATTGGTAGCTGGTAGCAGTGGATTCCATGATTCAAGATGTACAGTTGGTCAAGGAGTTAGAGTGGTTCCATCTTATCCATTAGAGTTAACCAGTTGGTCCATGGAAATACCACATGGTTCTGTTCACCTTTGTAAGTCTTGAGATCTTTTTTTCCCTGAAAGGGGTACCAAAGTGCTTTGCTTTCTTTAATAAAACTAAATATTTTGGTGTTATCTAGGAACTTGGATTATCTTTTCAGTTTTATTTTAGTAGTTTAGTACTTTGAGGCCATCCGTTATAAGATCGTCAACAGTAATATAAAGGTTGGGTAAATTTTCGATTTTAGAGGGGATTGCCACATACTATATACCTTACCACAAATTCTTATAGAATTTTGTGGAATGTTTCTTAGGTGTTATTGAAATTCAGTTATGGAATATTTTCATAATTGAACCTTGCTAGTTTCATATAATACAACAATATTGGCTTTTTTTTTTTTAATACAGGCAACAGCTAGCCATTTCCCCTGGTGAGAAAAGGCAGGTGGTAAGTGGCACTTGCCAGGTCCATGATTTAAAGAGTTAGCAAGCAGTTAGAATGAGATGATGTGATACAAACAAGACATGTTAAGTATAACATTTCATGCACATTTCAAATCTACTTTATCCCAGATGTGTCAAATCTGTAGAGTTCTGACTGTAAGTATGACTTTGGCATTCTTGTCTAACTTTAGACAAGTCTTTTTTTAATGCCTCACTTTTCCCCGACATGTGCAATGGGGTACTTACTGTTACTAAATTAATAGGAATTTGAATATGTCATACTCTCGGTGGTTAGAGCCATCATGTCACACCTGTGTGTTTTAAGATAGTGTGTGGTTATTACCTTTTGTAATGTTGGCTATTAGTCTGCCATTGAGATTTCATTATGGGAAGGGACAAACAGTTTAGCAGTGCTTCGCCCACCTGCCTTTGAGATGCCCTAACAATGATTATAAAAATATGTCTGTGGAAAGTTTCCCTGCATTTGACTAGGACGTGTGAATTATACTACTTAGTGTTCCGAAAGTACAAAGCCCAGCAAACAACCCAGTACATTTGGAGTAAAAAAATAAAGGTTTTTTAGAATTTAAAATTTTAAGTTTTACTTGATCATTTGCAAGCACGAGGTATGTCCAGAAAAAGTCCAGCCATTGCTAATATGAGAACAGTTTGTGTGACACAGATGTAAACTGGCAGCCAGAGAATGGGCTAGAATGCACGTGCATGAACAATGATGACCTCACTGTAGGAGTCAGTGGGGGTGGTAGATGCCCTTGAGGGAGCATGTGCACTGTGTGGCTATGCATTCAAAGTGACTGAGCAAGGAGAGCAACAAATCTGCATTAAATTTTGCGTTAAGCTCGAACACTTCTCTGCAGAAACTACTGGATGATTCAGAAGGTCTTTGGGGACAATGCAATGAGTGCAGCACAAATAAAAGTGGCACAAATGCTTCAAAGATGGTCAAGAATCTTTTGAAAGTGGTCCATGTTCTGGAAGGCCTACAACAAGCAGAACATCTGAGAATGCTGAATGTGTATGGACTATAATCAATAAGGTGCTTACTTCGAAGGCAGCTAAGGCTTCATTGTGCTGTGTACAATGTTTATTGTAAATTGTATCTTCCTCAGTAAATGTCTTATCACGTGGCTGGATACCTTCTGGACAGACCTCATACACCTACGTGTATATACACATACATATCATTGCAGTTAAATGATCAAGTTTGAAATACTGTAGGGACCAATTTTATTTAAGGATCAAGGAGACAGCTACTTTTTTGGAGTTAGTGTACCCATCTAATTTTAGACATCAAGTGACCACTTTTTTCTGCTTAGTTTTATTGAGACTAACATTTGAATTTTTGAAATTTTTTGCTTGCACTATCTAAAGACTTAAAATTTGACAGCTTTCCCCCAATTACTGTTTCTGTAAGATTTTTAAAATATTAAAGTGTTTCTGTGTTATTGTTACCATAATTTGATGTATATAGTTTCCAAGTCCATTTGCAAATTCAATATTTATTAATAACTGAAATCTTTTGTCTTCATTTGGTATGTAGTCTCACACGTTGTAGTCTGGTAGGCCAAGTTAAAACCCTGACAGCCCTTTAAGCCCAAGTGCATCCAGGCAGCAGTCGGTCAGGTAACCTTGTGGCAGTGACACAAGCAAACTGGCATTTAAATAAAGCTCTGGGACACTTGAGCATATAGCCTCTTGTCTCTAGTGTATTTCTCACAGTGGTCTGAAGGAGGCAAGACTTATGGGTCAGTTTTGAACAGCCTTACTTACATTTGATTTTTAAAAACAAGAGACTCAGGGAGAGTACTGAACCAAAATCGCTCATCTGACTTTTCTGTTTTCCATAGTTTTTATTTGGTTTTATCGAAATGCTTTTATAATGGAATATGATACTGTGACAGTTTGGTAATTCTTCAAATTTTTCCATCGTGGCCTTTTATTTCACAAGTTTCTGAAGTCTGAATTACAATTTTTTAAACCAACTTAATCTAAAAGGATTAACTGCTTTAAATTTATACACGTAGAATATTGTAAACCAGAGAAGATTAAAAAATGTGTTTTCACAGGATCTAAATTGTTGTATATGAAACTAAGCCTACTTTTTTGTGACTTCATTGTGATGTGTTGGTGACAAATATACGTAATGAAGTATGTTTAAACGTGTGTGTGCTTTTTAAAAAAAATAGTGACTTTTAGTGAATTATGGTAAGCAGTGTGGTGACAGTCATGTCACATCCAAGCTCCACACTTGACACCAGCTAGTCAGATCTTATTTCTCTGATCTAGGCCCTTACTAAATGGGCCATCTGTTAGGGAACACTGCTGGCTGAGTGGGAGGGACAGAGAAAGTAAAGCACTGTGACTGTGGTGAGTTCTGCGGAAACATGAGTGGGGACAGGGAGAGTGTCACAGAGGAGGCTTATGTTTGCGGTGTGTGTGTGTGTGTGTGTGAGAGTGTGTGTGTGTGAGTGTGTGTGTATGTGTGAGTGTGTGTGTGTGAGTGTGTGTGTTAGTGTGTGTTGGGGGAGTATTTTTCAAATCAAGTGGAATATCATTCAGTCCTAAAAAGAAATGTGCTATCAGCCACGAGAAGACTCGGAGGAAACTTAACTGTGTATTACTGAATAAAAGAAGCCAAGCTGAGAAGGCTACAGACTGTATGATTCCAACTATATGATAGTCTGGAAAAGGTGAAACTCTGGAAACAATAAAAAGACCAGTGACGGTCAGGAGCCAGAGGACAGAGAAGGATGAATACACGGAGCACAAAATTTTTACGACTGAAACTACTACAGTTGACCCTTGAGCAACTGGAGTTTGAACTCCACTCAGTTATTTTTTCAATGAATACAGTAAAAGTATTTTATGATTTTCTTAACCTTTTCTCTCTAGCTTACTTTAAGAATACATCACATATAACATAAAAAATGTTAATAAACATTGGTAAGTGGTCAACAGTAGGCTATTAGTAAGGTGGAGTCCAAAGTTATTGGGGGGAGTCCAAAGTTAATACAGATTTTCAACTGGGGGGTTGGTGCCCCTAAACTCCGTGTTACTCAAGGATCAATGGTCACTATACATTTATCCAAGCCCACAGAATCTACAACACCAAGAGTGAACCCTAATGTAAACTATAGCCTTTGGGAGATACTAGTGCACCCACTTTTAAATACTTTTCTCTTTTAATTGGTATGCTTTAAATAGTTAACTTGTATTATTTCTTACTGTACTAATTTTAGACATCTCTTTCTCCTCCTCTGGAATTTAGCAAAATCTGCGTTAACAAGTAGGCTTAAACTATTCAGTCATTTTAATGTTATTGCCTCAGAAAAGCTTGCTCTAGAAGGGGTGTCCAACTTGCAGCCCAGGATGGCTATGAATGCAGCCCAACACAAAATCGTAAAACATTAAAACATGAGGTATTTTTGTGATTACATGTTACAGTGTATTTAATGTGTGGCCCAGAGATGCCAGAAGTTTGGACAGCCCTGCTAGACCATCACTTGGGTCTCTAATGCCTTTTTCCTTTGGATTTCAAATACAGGCATACCTCAGAGATACTGAAGGTTCGGTGCCAGACCTCCAACTAAAGCGACTATCACAATAAAGTGAATCATAATTCTTTTTTTTTCTTCTTGCTGGTGGAGGGTCATGCCTTCAATTTGCAAAAAAAACCACAGAACACCTGTGATGCGCAATAAAACAAAACAAAAAAAATGAGGTTTGCCTGTAGAGCTTAGTCAACTCTGAGGAAAACTGTCTTCACGTTTCTTGAAGAGGTTAAAATGAAAATCCAGGACTCAGAAAAAGCTGCATGCTCCTTCAAAAGACTTTTTAAACTGCAGCGTACAGTGTAAATTTATGTTTCTGTGTGCAGAAATTCTCCTAGGAGGTTGAGAAGCTGTGGGGTGGCAGGAGCCAGTGCTTTTAACCTTCTGGAAAGGACTCACGGGATTTACCGTTACACCAAACTCCCCGCAGTGTGAGAGAGTGGAAAATGACTGCACAAAAGAGACCCGCATGGGCCCTTGTACTCGTCCTGGGTCACTGAATTTGCTGTACTGAAGGCTACGATTCCCGTCACTACCGACGTACCGGTGGATATGTTAGATGTGGTGGTTAATTTTACGTGTCAACTTGGCTAGTTTATAGTGCCCCCAGCTGTTCGTTCAAACACCAGTGTAAATGTTGTGAAGGTACTTTTTGGATGAGATTAACGTTTAAATCAGTAGACTTGAGTAAAATAGATTAATCTTCATAATTAATGAAGGGTGGGCCTCATCCAGTCAGTCGAAGGCCTCAAGAACAGAGAGGTTTCCTTAAGAAGAAAGAATTCTCCAAATTGCAACACAGAAACCCCGCCAGAGCTGCCAACCTGCTGGCAGCTACAGATTTCAGACTTGCCAGCCTTCACAATAGTGTGAGCCCGTTTCTTAAAATCAATGTACATACGAACACATGCATATACATATTCTATTGCTTCTTTTTCTCTAAAGAACCCTAATAGGCTTATTTTCTTGGAAACGGCATGACCTCCCTCATCCCTTTACTCTGTCCATTAGCAGCCCACTAATTTTCTCTCTGCCTTCAAGTGGGCAGCAGTCCTTCAAATGAGGACTCTAGATCCTCACCGTTCGGTCCAAGGCACTCTCATTTGTCAGAACAGAGCCACTCTGGTTGCTCAGAGCTGTGCAAGTTCCCACTGACGGGAAAGCCTCAGTCCTGTTGGTTGGAATAGGGCTTCAGGAACTGAGGAGCTGGTTCAGATGGCAGAAACACGGTGTGGGCAGGCAGTCCAGCATGGAGTCAGGCTGTCCAGCACAGAGGCTTTACCGTGAAGTGCATTTTGGGTGGGAGGCCCCTGCACAGAAATGGCTGCTAAACTCTGCTTTTTAATCTCTTATTATGTTTTTAATTTGAGCCCAGTTAGCTCCCAGGAACACTTCTTAGTCCTTTTTTCTCCTTTAGTTCATCACAATTTCCCCTTTTCGTTCAGAACCTGTCAATAGCACTGATGACAGATCAGGTCATTGTGTCCTATGTCTGCTTGCCACTTGCTCTGGTCCCATCTAGTCCCTAGGTGGGACTCCTAGGTGGCAGGGCAGTAGCCAGTAGAGCAGCTAGAGCCATTTGCTCTCAGGGACCTGCAAGCAGCTAGAGCCATTTGCTCTCAGACCTGGCCGGTGTGGCTCGCTCAGTAGGTTGCAGCATCATCCCATGGACTAAAGGCTCATGGGGCTGGTTCCCAGTCAGGGCACATGCTTGGGCTGCTGATTTGATCCTTGGTCAGAGTGCATGCAAGAAGCAACCAGTCAATGTTTCTTAAATCAGTGTCTCCCCCCGGCTCCACTGTCTCCCTTCCTCTTCAAAACAATGAAAAGAAATGTCCTCACATGAGGATAAAGATAACAAAAACAACAAAGGCATTTAATTTGTTAAGAAAAATCATGGGTAACTGACACAAGGTATTTGCCATCAGGAGTAAAGATCCCTGCCATCCTGAATTCCACACATGGGAGGCTCACAGTGGCTTGATGGATCATTTCCTATCCGTGTAACCATTACTTGAGTTTTTGTAGGTTTTCAGCATTTGGTTACACATGGCATCAATAGCTTGATAATGAAATATACTGAATAGATTAGAATAACAGTAAGCAAAACAGCTTGCAACCCAGGCCTTAAAATATCTCCAAGTCCAGTTGGGAACCAACTGAAAATGTCAAAAAGTTTAAATCCTAACCAGCCATTGACACTAGCTGTTAAACTGTAATGCCTCCTCAAGGGGTCCAGAAGGTTTTTGGTTTCTAATTCCACCTGGGAAGTATTTAGCCAGATACAGCAGGTGCTGTATCCAGGTGCTGGCTATGGCTCAAACTCCTCCTTGTGCTGCAAGCACTTAATCTAGGGTGACTGTTGAGGACTACTCATTCTCAGGCGTTTAAAGATGTTTGCTGGGCTCAAATGGCTCTGGCAGTTGAGCGAACAATTTGGCTGATGGTTCTTCTTAGGTTTCACATTAGATCTAATTAAGCAGTGTCTAGGTCAGGTGAAAACACAATTCTATGAAAGCGGTTACTCCCACCTGGAAAACCTGCCAGCAAGTCACATCCCAAAGAAAAGCCATGAGAGTTGCCTCCATAAACAGAGGGATTCTTATCAGGGCAGTACTCTATTGATATGGCCTTCTTTTTCCCTGTGATAAGAGCTTGGTTGCTGTGGTTTCAAGGGCAGTAAAAGAGAATGTCAATTGACACAATGCCCAAGGCTGATTTACATCCAGACAGACAAAAACAGAACCTGGGGGGGCATTAAGGGTGCCCTGCAAGAGTGCTCATTCTAGGGATTTGTTAACAGGACGGGAGGCGAAGACATTTTCCAAGCACAGCTCGGCTCAGCGTGGTTTGAATGTCCCTCTAGGAGTTCTTCCCAGTATGTCTGTACATCGTGGGGTGAACATTTAGGTTCTTGACAGCGTGGGCTCTTTCTGCTCTCGATGGCTGTAGGGTTGTTTCACAGCAATCACAATGGAAACAAGTGCAACCATATTTAAGGTATTTAAGATACATGTAGTAATATAATAAGGGTTGGCTAGTGACCAAGTCAACTGTGGGAGATGGTGGGTTCCCACCTGGGGAGAGTGTGGCCAAGGCAGAATGTGGGCTTAGGTAGACACGAAAGCTGGAACTCCCTCTTGCAACTTAACCTGGTAAGTTTCAGAAGGAGGAGATTTAATGAAATCAATGGTAAGGTTTGGGACAGCCGAGAAATTGCTAACAAATGACTATGGGTCATCAGTTTTACTAGAGGTGGAAACTGGCATTGGATGTCAATCCAGAACACATCGTATAATATACATCTATGCCCAAGGTTTGTCATTTTGTTTGCTAGCTCCAAAGCTAAAGAGCCATGGACTAATGCACATTCTTAATTAAACCCACATCCTTAAGCTACTTTTTATTTACTAAATACAAATTCTCAATCACTTGCACTTTAAAAGCAATTACATCAGTTTGTGTTATTTCTCCAATTTGTATAAGAAGTCTTTTAATCCAACTGAATGAGGCCCTTTCACAATCTAAATTTGAATTTACAAATCAATTTTTGGCAGTATCATCCAGCCATAGGAACATACATTATCCATAACACAGACACACATAAAGACACATAGCACAATATACAAAACCCAAAAGAAAAATAATGGATCCAAAAGTAAAGAGGATGACCCCCAATTGACTTAAAAGCAGCCAATTTTCCTGGGCGGAAGCTTGAGCATCAGATGGCTGCTGCCCAACTAGAGACAAGGATGGGGAAGGGAAAGTAGGGTGGTGGGTGAGGCGGGGGGCTGGAAAGAGGGATGTTCTGAGTCACAAGCACAAGGGTAAAGGAAAAGTTTTCCAATGATCCCACTTTTGTTCCAGTTTCACAAGTGTCAGTTTCTCTTTTAATTTAGCAAATGGTGAGTGATTCGCATGTGAAAATTTAGATCATGGGTTACCCTTTTTGCACTCTTCCTTACGGGTGGCATTCCCCTCGCCCCTGAATGCCCTTTAGTATGAGCATCCTCACAAACCTTAATGGACAAGGCCTAGTCCTAACCTGGAGGCACCAAACATGATGGAGAAAAGCCTTCCCTCGAGGACTCCTTCGCTGGTGCCAAATGCAAATGAAGGATACCGCTTATAAGCGCAAAACCCAAATCGTAAGAAGGGGCTCCCGGAGTCCAAACATATGAACCAAGGTCACCAAATAATGGTTCTCTATCTAAACTTAATGAAGTCTCTGAGACCTCAGTCGCAAGCTTGGGAGATGTAGGATTTGAAGAGACTTACCCGAGACCCTCAAGTGCTTCTGGGGAGTTGTTCAGGCTTCCGACAAGTTGGTTTCAGGATGGCATCAGGAGATCCGAGCGTCACTTCAGAGCCCCACAATGGGCTCCAAGGAATGTCAACTGATGGTCACTTGCCAACAAGAATTCCCAGTTTGGGTTTGGGGTACCATAAAGAAGGAAAGTCTTCAATACAAACAGCGATACAGCAGGGTTGGGCTGTTACCTGCATAGAACAAACACTACGGCTAGGCAGCCCTGGAGCGAGGCCGCTATCACGGCAAGACCAGCTTCAGTGTTCAGCTACACCCTGGAAGCTCCAGCCCGGCGCTGCCAACCCAGAAAAAAAGGTGCAGCGGCCAGTCTTTCATGGAAAGTAATCTACCTGCACTGGAGCAGGGCTTACATAGACACAAGTCCACACACCTGGTCCCTGATTGGTCCATTGTCATGCAAATGAGGGCTCAGAATCCTCACGGTTTGATTGGTCCAAAGGCACTGTCCTGGTTGGTCAGAATAGAGTCACCTGTTTGGAGCTGGGCAGCTCATTGGAAGGGAAAACCTCAGTCCTATTGATTGAAGTGGGACTCCAGGAAATGGAAAGATGGCTCACGCGGCAGAAACCCAGTGCAGGCAGGCAGCTTAGTGTCAGGCGCCAGTACAGCACAGAGGCTTCTCCACGAGGTTCACGTGAGAGGCCCCCGTGCAGAACTGCCTGCTAGGTTCAGTTTTTCTTTTCTTTAAATTTGAGCCCAGCTGGCCACTAGGAGCCCTTCTTAATCCTCAGGCTTCACAGTATCCATTTCCAAGTACAGAAACAAAGATAAGTTACACCAGTGAGACCCTTCCCGCTCCCACCCCTGCCTTCTCTCTTCCAAAAGACATGGTAGTTTAAATGACTTGTACATTTTGGAGAAGGCTTTATGGGCAGGTGAGACTTTAGGCTGCTGCTACAGTTTCTTACCAGCAACACCTAGGGACACCAGAACACCCTATGCGTTTTTCATGTATTGCTATCCATGCTGGGCTGCCTTCTCAGTCCAGCCAAAACAGAAAACCCTCATCATTTCATGTCTGCTACCTTACAGTAGCTTCGTATTTTCACATTACGGCCCTGGGCACTTTTAGCAATTAATATGTCTCAAACTACAATAACTCTCTTGGAAGCAGATTATTATATACGCATAAAGGCTATATGTAAGTCCCCCTCAAATCTTTATCTCCTTCTACGTCCTACTGAAAGCTGAAGTATTGTTGCTGAAATCCATCTCTTCAAATTAAAATGTCAGCCTAATTATGACAGGGATTTCATTTGCAGGTTTCATCGCTGCAGTCGAGGGCAGGTTCTCAGAAAATGTCAACGGGTGACGTTTACGCACTCTCACATTTCACAGAGATTTCATCTTTATTTACATCTAGGAAATCTTATCTCCACTTTTTGAACCTAGAGACCACGAATCATCATTGAAGTATCTTGCCCAGGGTTTCCTGGCAGTATGAACGGGTACGGCTTCAAGCCAGTAATCTACAAAGTCCTCGCGAACCTATTCAAAACCCAGCACGACTACAGCAGGCGTCTGAGCTGAGAGCTCTCTGCGAGAAGACCATCAGCTTTTCCAGCCCCTAGGCTCCGTAGCTTAGGGAGGGGGCAGAGCGATGTCGCCAGACCTCGGTCGCTCGCATGACGTCACCGCAGCGACACGGAAGGTTTCCCAGAGAGCCGGAGAGCTTCCCAGGTCCCCGCGGTGGACTAATCTTTAAGGCCTTGTGGGTGACTGCTCTTTCGCTGTGTGGCTGTGTGTCTTGGGTGGGCTGCCAGGAGGTTTGGACAGGCTCAGATCTCTTGCCCACCCCTCAAGGCCTTCAGAATGGGTGGTGGTGGCAGGAGGTTGAGTCCGGCAGGGGATTGTGTGAAGGAGGCAGGGTACCCTGAGACCTGGGACTAGTTGTGCACCGGCCAGCTTCAGGGCGACCGCTGGGCCTCTGATTTGAATCAGTGGTGTCTGGCGGGCTGGTGTCTAGTCGTGCAAAAACTAAACCGATCTGTGTGATGTCCCCTGAGTTGTCCAGCCTTACATCCCCTGCTCCTTTTTTGGAAATAATCCTGCCCTGCCTACCTGATAGCTGGTTTCAAAGAGCGCATGAAAAATCGTTTGGGAAGCTATAAAGTGCATTGTTATTAAACGTAATTAATAATGTAAGTTAAGAAGCTGTTGGATACAGGGAAAACGAGTTTCTAGATTACTTAACTTTCTTTAAAATACCCAGTAACCTTGGGAGAATCCCCAAAGCAAGAGAATTTGCTGACATTCCTGTGATGACTAAATAGCAGCTTCTGCAGTTGTAAAGTAAATTATATCTTAAACCTAATGATCGCATTACTTATGAAATCTGTTTACCAGATTTCGCTTTTATTTTCCTTGAATGATCCAAGAAGTGTTCAGGCAACAAATAAGGATAGAATTATTTGTTGAAGAGAATGTATTTGATTTAGTTAATGAAAATGAGAACCTTAAGAATAGATTTTGCCTTAATTCTTTGGGGCAATCACTGGGAAACTCAAAAGTAGAAAAACATCTTAATTGAGTAGGTTTGTGTGGTGAGTGCTGTAATTTGTCATAAAAATGGCGTTGTTAAAAATTCTCATCTGAGGATATGTTTGTTGATTTTAGAGAGGGTGGAGGAGAGATAGGTGAGTGACAGGAGAGGTTACCACCTGAATGAGCACCCAACCAGGATGGAACCCACAAACCTTTTGGTGTATGGGAGGATACTGCAACTAATTTAGGCTCCTGGTCAGGTGGCATTAAAAAAATTTAACTTTATAATTTTGCCCATTACTTTGATGTTGAGTATTTTTGGAGTATAATATATATTTAGTAGATTGTCCTCAAATGAGAAATTAACTGCTGTATGTGTTTTGGCATTTTAAAAAACGCTTTAGTATAATACATTCTATTGTGTAGGCAGTTTGTTTTTTATATTTGGCAGAGAAACAGAAGGTATCCTTCGGTCCTTTTGCTTGGAAAGAGGTCGTTTGCCATAATTCGAGTGCATGCTATGGTAAGTCTTCCTGATATTTTACAATGATCATTTGTATGTGTGAAGGAAGCTTAAAATTTTTCCTTTGTGCATCACAAAATAGTATTTGTAGAAATGCTTACTGAAAAGAACACTGTAAGTACTAAAATTACCTTAAAATTTCAAACTTTATATTAGAAAGCGTAACATTTCCTAACCTTATGGGTTTCAGAAGTTGTAGATTCATTTTGCTTTCTGTAGGAATATTTTATCAATGTTCTCTAATTGATAGTAAATGACATGGATGAAAATCTATTTTGAATCAGTAGGAAAGTTAACTAAATAAGTATGAAAACTTTAAAAACTCAAATAATTAAAATCTTATTTACTTTGAAATCTGGAAAGTAGGCTTTAAAAAAATCACTTTTACCTTCAAGGAAATAGTAGTAGTTTTGAGCTTTTAAAAAATTGGTGATTCCAGCCCTGGCTGGTGTAGCTCAGTGGATTGAGCGTGGGCCTGCGAACCAAAAGGATCATGGTTAGATTCCCAGTCAGGGCACATGCCTGGGTTGCAGGCCACTTCCCAGCAGGGGATGTACGAGAGAAAACCATACGTTGATATTTCTCTCCCTCTCTCCTTCCCATCCCCTCTTAAGATAAATAAATAAAATCTTTAAAAAAAATTAGTGATTCCTAAAATTCCTTTGATGAGTTTCAAATATTTTTACTTAATTTGTATTGAGAAGCCTTGAGAATGTTGTGTTGGTATGGTGTTTTATTGAGTCGTACGTAGTACTACATTTAGAGTCTAAATTTAAGTAAATATTTATCGGCAATTTAAATATCAAATAGAGTATAAATAGCTTACGTCTTAACATTTATAAAGTGACTCGATGTGACCTGTGCAAAGTATTATATTAAATAGTAATTATCATCATTTATATATAGTGGACTAAAAATGGATGGATTGTGGGTAGAATTATTTTTCTATTAAAGGTTGATTTTGCTTTCTCCTAAGTTCAGTTCCTAAACCCAGACTTTATTTGCATTAGTTTTTTCAGAGTAACCATACAGGTTTTTAACCACTTTATATGAATCAACTTGTAACAGTACTGAAGAAAAAATTAGGCATGTGGTGCTTTAAATTTGGTTTTATTGGTTAAGTTTATATATATATATATGTGTGTGTGTGTGTGTGTGTGTGTATCTATAATATACATATATTTTTTACATTGTTGTCAGTTGACAGAGAATTCTACGTTTCTATCTGTTTTTTTTCTCATCTGTGTATGTTACCACCCCCCTCCCAAATTTCCTTCCAGCTCTGACCCAGCATTGGGGTGATTGTATCATTAATTTTCAACATCATTTTTCACAGCAAAGTTACCATAGACAGTTCATAAGTTCAGAGACTGATTAATTGTATGCCTTTGACACAGTTGTTTTTGTGAGGAGTGACTGTACAGAAGTTGCTCTTTTTCTGTCTTCCTCTCCCAGGCTCCCTGAAACTCCCTGTCCCCGTAACACTTCCTACCAGTGATGTTTAGATCAACCTCAGTGAAATGACTCTTCAGGAATTGGTGCACGAGGCTGCCTCCAGTTATTCCAGTAAAAAAGCTGTATGTTTTGATGAATGTAACAACCAACCTCCAGTTTACTACACCTACAAGACTCTGGTTAACGCTGCTTCAGAATTATCAGATTTTCTGCTAATGCACTGTGACTTCCAAGGAATTCGAGAAATTGGTCTCTACTGCCATCCTGGGATAAACGTACCCTCTTGGATTTTAGGGTAATATGTTTTAGAACTAAAAATTTGATGTTATTCTAACCTACTTTATGATTCTTTAATAATAGAATATATTGCAGGTTATTTTTCTCTTTACTATTGGATTTTTTGGTATTGCTTTGTATATTCTAGAGAGGCTAAAGGAGATCGTATTTCCCCTAGGATTATTTTAAATGAATTCTCTGAGCTTATTTAGGAGAGACTAGAAGTTTTCACTAATAGTAGAACATTTAAATGTTTCCAAAATATAAGGTCTTCATTTGTCTGCTAAAGGAAAAGTTATAAATTTTATTGTTAGATGAAAGAAAACAACTATTTCAGAAATAATATGACTTTTTATCCCTCTAAGACTGAAGTCAAGTCTTCAAGTCTAACAGGTATTCAAGTATTCAATGAGTGAATGAATAAATAATTGAGAGTTTTGGATAATATTCCCTAAAAATTGAGGTATCAGTTGAAGAAGATACTAATTCAAACAAATATTTGCAAAATGTTCAATTCTTTAAGTTGTTTGGAATATTCTCATATAGTGATTTCTGTATTAGGGTTCTGCAGTAAACACAAGCTGATATTCATCCCATAGTATGTGTGTTAGTAGTTTAACTATTTAAATGTAAGAAAAAAGTTTTAAAATTTTTCATTAATGTTCTTTTTCCTGTTAAGGTATACAGGTTTTGGTGAAATATGTCTTTTTAGTATGCAGATTATTAGAGTCCCTCTGCATACTAATAAGTTGCCCGTGGACATTTTGTTTATTTTATGTTAGTCGGTATAGATGAGTAAATAAGAGTCTGCTACCTGTTTGGTATCTCATAGTAGCCAGTAAACCTAATTTATTTTACTGTAATACATTAGGTTTTAAAATCTTAGATTTCTCTGTATTAAGTAATGGGAATTTAAATAATAAACTTTTCACTTTTCAGGATATTCACTTTTAAGAGTTAGTTAAAAAATAACTACTTTAAGAGCTAGACAAAAAATAACTACTTATAAGCAAAAATATGTCAACAGAAACATTGGAAATTTCTGATAAAGTCAATAGTAAAGTACATAGAGAAATAGGAATGCTTAAAGATTATTTTCAGTATACACTGTATGCTAACTATATACTTTGTTTCCTTAGAATTCTCCAAGTCCCTGCTGCTTATGCTCCCATTGATCCAGATTCACCACCAGCGTTATCAACTCATTTTATGAAAAAATGTAATCTAAAGTATATCCTTGTTGAAAAACAGCAAATTAACGTAAGTATACATATTTAAGTGTTCTTCATGTGTTACATTTATCTTTCATTTGAAGGGTCTCTCTTAATCCCCTCTTAATTTTTAGATTGACTGACTCTGCAGGGTTTCACAGTCTCAGCACTGTTGACATTGTGAGTTGGGTAATTGCTTTTTGCGAGGAGTGTCCTGTACATTATAGGATGTTTAGCAACATCCCTGGCCTCCAGCCACCAGATCCCAGTAGTATCCCCTAGTTCTGACAACCAAAACTGTCTCCAGACGTTGCTTAATATCTGCCGGAAGTGCCCCCCCATCTGTTTGGAAACCCTGCTGTATGGCATGAACATGTCTTTTGGCTTTATAATAATGTATTGTGCTTTGCTTTGAACTTCCTTTCTCTCTCCAAGGTTATTTTTATCCTAGGAAAATTTTATAATACTTGAAACTTTTATTTTTATATATGTATGGCAATTTACAGTGGTCAGAACCATTAAAGAATTATAATCAAGCTTAGATTTCGAAAAAGAGATTGGTACTTAAGTCAAACCTTTCTGGAAAATTAAATTTATTACATTAAAAATTTTTTTGACTGCTAATCGAAGATCTAGCCAAGAAACACAGCTTTAGAGGCAAGTGTTGGTCTTACACATTCAGCAAGATGCAGCTTACAGTGCATTTCTTATTTAGAGTCAGGTCATCTGGGAGGGCACTGGCGTGTGAAAGAAGCCCAAGACAGGATTCTTGCCCCCCAACTGTCTATAATTTAGTTGGAGAGAAAAGGATAATACTCCCAAACCTGTAAGGTCTGCGTAGTAGACATTGTCCTAAGTGAAGGAAATGTAACCTAGTAGAGAGAGAAGAATTTTAATGGTAGATGATGATTTTTGAGCTAAGTCTTTAGAATATGTAGTCTCTTCATTGTTTGACTATTACAGGCCACGTCACCCCCTCCCCGTAATATATACACACCAGACAAACAGAAAACACCACAGACTTCTGGGATTTGATGTTTTTTCTCTCATTTATATTGAATGAAAACTTAAGTTATATTTTATTAAGCTGCTTCTTATCAAAATAAAAAGGTATATTCAAAGAAACTTCACTTTTGACATGTACAAACTGAAATAAGCAACTTTTCATCCAAACTTAGTTCTATAGTTCTGTGTTAATCTATATCTACCAAATACCTGATGCAAAAACTCAATCTTCTTGGGCTCACTCTATTTCCAGAAAGTTACTAAGCTCTGTTGATTCTTTGCTCATAAACCCTTTCTTTCTACTCTGGTGGCAACACATTATTAGTTCAGGCTCATAGAATATCTGAATTGTTGCAAACGGTTCATTAAGTGGCTCCCACTTATCAGACTCTTGACAGATTAAAGTCTAGTCTGTGTGGTTTCCACCTTCAGTTGGATCCCAGCGCTTACAGGTTAAGGTCTAAACTATTTAGTGCTGACTATGTAGTTATTCAGGATTAGCATCTCGTGTTAACAGCACTACTCACCTTCCCCTTGCCCAGTTCTGCAGTTTGTTGGAATGCTTACTACTCTCCACAACACCAGTTTTCTTGGGTCTTATACTCTGTATTGACTCTTTATTTGAAGAATAGCTACTTATAAACACAAATATTACATATGAAGCAGCAATCTCTGACCTTGGCGGTTAAGTTCAGCTTCCTCTGTTCCCATTAACATTTTAAGCTTATTTCCTTGTCACACTTAGTACATTGTACTGTGGTTGTACGTTTTTATATGTCTTTATTTTGAAAATAAAGACAGCACTTTACTCTTGGAGGTTTCCAACTTATTATTTTTTTAATCCCTGGATGTATAGTGAGTTCTCAGAAAAAATGAAAAAGCCATAATGAATGAGTAAATGAACACTTCTTATTACTTCTAGGTAAAAAAGAATGTCTTTTAACATATTGGAAAATTTTGTTCTTCATTGAACAGAAATTCAGATCTTCCTATGAAACATTATTGAGTACATCCGATATATCTACAGTAGAACATAATGACCTAGTACTCTTCAGACTTCACTGGAAAAATGTTGAGGTGAGCTGGACGCTAAATGATAGCAAGGAGAAATCTGAAAAAGAAAAAATGGCAAACAGCACGAGTTCTGAGAACAGCACTGAAGGAAAGTCAGAGGAGCTCATGGACGCGAGGCTGGAGCATTGTTTAGCCTATGTTCTCCATACATCAGGCACCACGGGGACACCTAAGATTGTCAGAGTCCCTCATGCGTGCATAGTGCCTAACATCCAGCATTTTCGGTGAGTTCTGGCCTTAGAGTCCTTCTTCAGTGCTTGTAGCCCCTGCATTATTCAACCATGCATGTTTTACATGACAGCCCTTCATGAGGAAATAAAGACTCAGATGGCAAAACCTGTGTTTGCTTTTATATCAAGTTGAACAAAGTTGTGTTCAAAATGTGGGTAGGCCAAGGGAAGATAAGAATTATCAAGGTCTGTTTGTATAGAATTCTCTGAGTTTCAACTTCTGGTCCTTAATGATAAGAATGTTACTTTACTTCTGGTATAGAGAGGACGTCTTTCATATGGGAATTTCAGCTCCTGCTTTTATGTGGGGTGGGGGGGAGGAGGAAGATCAGATTGTTTTTCTTATATATGCTGTTTTTCAAGTGCCTTTAACTCCACTCCTTCACCATGAAAAGAGTAAAGTTAGAGGGCTTATATACCTAATTTGTTAGAGAAAGGCGAGAGGAAGACAAGGCTTCTGTGGGAAGAAGGAGTACGCTGCTTTAGGGAAGACAGAGAGGTACCACACTTTGTAATAATGTTGGTTTGTGCTGACGAGAATAGTCTTTCCTGCCTTGGGCCGCAAAACTCCCCTGCAGAGGGGACTGTGGCCGTTTACTCTTTGTGTCCTTGCTGGAAGTAGAAGCCACTCCGAAGGGAATGTATGGCAGCCTCATCTCCCAGAAGCTGCTGCTGTAGTCAGATAAGGGGTGCTTGAAGAAGGCTTTTTTCCTACATCTGTTGAATCTAAAATGTCTTCAGCTTAAAATAATCATACCAACTCTGGGCTTTGGAGTGGGTCCCCACACCGAAAATATTTTGAAGTTAAGGTAATCCCTGCATTTAGACAGGTTAAGTTTTGTGTGTTCAAACTGAAGTAGTGCCACAGGCTCAACAATGACTGTCCATGCTCTGTATTACCTTGCTACATATGTTCTGTGCTGCTTTTTGTTTAGCTACTAAGAAAAAGTGCCAGATAGTGGGAGAAGGGAGTCAGAGGTCTCTACTAAGTATCACTGAATAAGTAGGATAGAATAGGTCCAGATTCCTCCCAGAAAAGAAGAACCTGGAGGATATATCAGAGATTTATTACAAGGAATTGGTTTATGGTTGTGCAGGCTGACTAAGCAACACTGAAGTCTGCAGGGTAGACAGTCAGAAAGGAATGGTCTTGAGCAGGTGCTTGTCCACATGCAGTTTAGGAAAGAAGATCCACAGGGTAGGAAGAGTAATTGCAGACTCAGCTGCTGTTTTGGAGAATCAGAAGAGACCTAAACATTCTCTTAAAGGCCTTCCCACTGACCACGTCCAGCCAACCCAGTATGAGATCTCTTTTGATTAAAGTCAGACTGATCAGGAACTTTAATCATTAACAAAAATCCCTTCACAGCAGCACCTACAATAGTGTTTCTTTGAATAACTGGCCAAAAGTGGGTGTGCTACCAAATGCAACTGTCTCCCTCTGTCTTCTGGCTTTCAAGAGAGAATACCCTTGTCTTCTGCCCGAATGGAAACCGTACTAGAAGGGGAATTCTGGGGACTGTAGTTCAATCCAGCCAAGTTGACACATCAGAAATCTATCACAGATGATAAAATAGGTCATGGTAAAAAAAATTATATATGGCTTTAAATGGCTTTTAATCCTTACATTTATAAAGAAGAGTTATAGAATTAATAGCACTGTTTTGGTTACTCTTAAGGGAAAAGAGTAAAAATCTGGCTTGCATCCAAAAATTTACTGGTCATAAATTCTTTGTTAGGATATGTGGTTACCAAATGTTAGACGTTTCTCATAACTGCACTTTCTTTTGCCTTAGGGTACTTTTTGAGATCACACAAGAAGATGTTTTATTTCTGGCTTCACCACTGACCTTTGATCCTTCAGTCGTGGAAATATTTGTTGCTCTATCAAGTGGTGCCTCTCTGCTTATTGTACCAACTGCTGTCAAAGTGTTCCCATCAAAATTAGCAGCTGTTCTCTTTTCCCATCACAGAGTGACTATTTTACAGGTACATTTTAGGAGCAAGTGAAATGTTTAGTTCTCCATGATTCAATACATTAAGTGTTTTAGAAAATATTTTGCACTTCTGTAGTTCTTTATAATGGACTCATGATAATCTAGTTCGATTATCGAAGACTGTCCCCTGATGAGCTCACTTTTCTTTTTGTTTCGAATGGAAAAAAAAGATCAGTTAATTCTGCCTAGAAAAGTATTTTATTGTGCATTTTGTATATATTGTAATAACCAGAGGAACTTGACTTCCACTCAGATCTGTTGGGATAGGCTGCCTTGCCTGTCTTAGAGTTTAAGGTTATTGTATTTCACGCTAAAAACTAAGTCAGTTAAAATATAATTGAGTTAGAAATTGAGATTTTTCTAATTTTTACATTAGCATATTTAACCTACAGAAACATATTTAAGTTTGGCATTTTTAAAAATTTAAAAATATATATTTGAAAGTATGTTGCTGGTATACAAGCCTTAGGATATTAATTGCAAGTAGTTAGATCCTAGAGAGATACTAGAGATACTATGTGTATATCATGATAAACTAAAAACACCAGGCTTATATATAGCATAATGAGACTCAAGAGGATGTTAAATTTCTGCCGTAAACACAAAATTTGATACTGAGTTTAGTTTTTTGGCAGTGTGTTTTTCATCCTGAAAAATAAATAAAACACACACACCTATACATACACATTCACAGAATGACTCACCAACAGATGAGAATTTATATCTATTGATACCTAGCAGGCCATATTGCTATACTCAATTCATATTTATATATAAACATGTCTTGGTGAGTCATTCTGTGAATCTGGACAAGATTTTAATATAGCTTTTATTTTCATATAAAATTAGAGGAACATATTTTTCAGGCAGTCTTTGCAAAATGCTGTAATAGATTTGAGTGATAGTCACCAAAGGAATCAGGAGACTTTACTTCTGTGTCAAGTTGGTGAACAATACCTCTTTATTCCAATCCTCTTGCTTAATGTTTTAGCACAATCTCAAACATATTTACTTCAGTGGTGGTTTTTAACTTTTTTGGCATCATTGCTTTTTTTGAGAAACTGATACACATTCACTAACTCTGTTCCCAGAACACAGCAAATTTTGCATATAGTTTCATGGTGATTTTATTTAACTGACAGTACTTATTTTGGAATATTATCAGCAGATCACGTTTGACTTTGAGTAAGGAAGTACAGAAACTGATAGGTTATTCTTTCCTTTGTATAAAACACGATTTTAAATTAATTTAATTAATTTTATTGTTGTTCAATTACAGTTGTCTCCATTTTTCCCCTTACCACTCCCCCCACACATGTTCTGTCCTATACTGAATTTTAGCTTTGTTGTCAGGGTTCATCTTTTACTTCCAAAGTCAGACTTCTTATTAAATGATATGTAAGTCATCAAGAATTAGTGTGTGTGTGTGTTTAAAAAGAGCTCCCTGTACAGATTTTATTTACAAATAATAACCTTACCCAAATATAATTTGATACTAAGCAAAGATCATAGACACTTAAAGAGAACACATGCTACTAAGATTTTGAAAATTGGAAAAAGATTGAACATGTTAAGTTATTGTGGAGGAGAAAGGCCCCAAAGTGAAATGGATTGAGCTTTTGAGGAAATTAAGGATCTATTCTGTTTGTTTCAGGCATAAGGAGTTTCTTCTCTTGGAAAAGAAAAGCCCAATTTTTCATTCCTTACAAACCTAAAATATATTTCGGCATTTTTGCTTACTTTGGGTAACAAAAGTTGTATTATTTATACCTTTTAAAAATATTTTTATTTATTTGTAGAGAGAGGGAGAGGGAGGGAGAAACAGAGAAAGAGAAATATTAATGTGTGAGACGATCAGTTGTCTCTCGCATGCCCCCAACTGGGGACCGGGCCTGCAACCCAGGCACGTGCCCTGACTGGCAATCAAACCAGTGACCTTTCAGTTCACAGGCTTGAGCTCAATCTACTGCACCACAGCAGCCAGGGCTATTTATACCACTTAATCATAGAGGCAATTACAAGGACTAACAAGTTTGTCAGGATTGGAGGATATAGGCTCAATATACAGAATCAACTGTATTTATACATAATAGAAACCCCCCAAATTAAAATAGTAAAATAATTATATTCACAGTAGCATAAGAATAATAAAACAGGAATAAATTTAAAGAAGAGCAAGACTTGAACAGTACAAACTATAAAATATCGTTGATAGTTACTGAAGAGCTAGTTGGTGGCATGCAAGAGGTTGCCAACTGATGTTTCTCTCACATTGATGTTTCTCTCCCTCTTTCCCCCTCCCTTTCCCTCTCTCTGAAAATAAATAAATAAATAAATAAATAAATAAATAAATAAATCTTTATTAAAAAAATTGAGGGGCTAAATAAATGAAGAGATGTTTTATGTTTATGGATAAGAAGTCTCAATAATGTCAAGATTATAGTTCTTCCCCAAATTGATCCATACATTAAATATGGTCCCTATCAAAATCCTAGTAGACGTTTTTGGGTAGAAATTGACAAGCTGATCCTAAATTTTAAGTGGAAGTGCAAAAGCCATTCATAAACCATGCCATAGAATATAACTCAGCAATAAAAAATCGTATGATCTGATATGTCTATCCCCCACTCCTAAATTCACATTCAAGTCCTGATTCCCAGTGTGGTGGTATTAGGAGGCGGGAACTTTGGGAGAGCTTTGGTCAGGAGGATGGAGCCCTTATGAATGGGATTAGTGCCCTTGCAGAAGAGATCCCACAGAGCTCCCCAGCCTCTTCTACTTCGTAAGGACACAGCAAGAGGCTGGCAGTACATAGCCTGGGAGAGGGCTGTCACCAGAACCCATCCGTGCTGACACCCTGATCTTGGAATTCCAGTGCCCAAGAACTGTGAGAAATAAGTGCCTGTTGTTTATAATCTATCCAGTCTGTAGTATTTCGTTACAGCAGCCTGAACAGACTAAGTAAGACAAAAGGGAATGAACTATTGATACACACAAATTAGAATAATCATGGAGTATTTGTGTTGAGTGAAAGAAGCCAGATCAAAACAGAATACATGTTGTATGATTATATTTTTAGAAAATCTAGAAAATTCCAGCTGATCATAAGTGACAGAAAATAGATCAGCATGTGTCTGGAGAAGGGGTTCAGTTGGAGGGAAGAATTACAATGGTGTATAGGTCATTTTAGGGGTGATGAATATGTTTATTTGGATTGTGACGGTCTCACAGATTCTATCTTAAAGTTTATATTGTATACCTTAAATATTTACAGTTTATTGTATGTCAGTTATACCTCAATAAAACTGTTTTTAAAAATCTTTATTAAATTGTTCTCCTTAGGCATATTTTTTACCCCTTTTATGTACTTTTTACACAGAGATAATGGGAGAGGTGAATGTAAATTGATATTCTAGATTTTTGCCATTTTTATCTTGAAACCTTTTTGTCTAAACTAATGAAACAACGAATTTTTTTCTCAAGTTTTTTGCTAAAGCAAAGTTGATATTCACTTTCAGAAGATAATGTTGCCTCAGGAGTTTTCAAAATATGATTTGCCATTTAATAAACATAGTCTTAATTTCCTTGTGGGCTCCAGTGTTAAGCTTTGAACCAATTGTTGCAGTGTTTACCTTTTAAAGAAATGAAGGAGAAAAATAAATTATTTTTAATGTATCTATAGGCCACCCCAACATTGCTTAGAAGATTTGGATCTCAGCTTATCAAGTCAACAGTTTTATCAGCCAGTACTTCTCTTCGAGTGTTAGCCCTTGGGGGTGAAGCATTTCCATCACTGACTGTCCTCAGAGGCTGGAGGGAAGAGGGCAACAGAACACAAATATTTAATGTTTATGGTATCACAGAGGTATCAAGTTGGGCGACTTTTTACAGGATTCCAGAGAAGATTCTTAACTCTACTTTGAAGTAAGAATTTTAATAACTAAATAGGGTAGAAAGAAACAATTTTTCCAGTATCTTAACACTAATAGAGCTTTTGATAGGCACTGGGGTAATAATTTTAGAACACTATTTAATCTAGAATTTTAAGCTAAAAATCCAGAACCTTTCTTACTATAACTGGTGCTACAGATCCTGCTAGAACTTTTTGTGACTTAACAGCAACAAATAACATGGTAACCTTGTTCCATCTAACCTTGTCCTCTTGGTAATCTTTGAATTATAGCATAACAAAAAACATTTTGTTTCTTTATTTGATACAAAGTAATTTAAATACATTGGAAGAGGCTCAAATGAAAGATGTTAAATCTGGTTTGGATTTTTGTGTTTTTGTAGATGTGAATTGCCTGTACAACTGGGATTTCCACTGCTTGGAACAGAAGTTGAAGTCAGAGATACTGATGGTTTCAGAATTGAAGAAGGCAGTGGCCAAGTCTATTTAGGTTGTTTTATATTTATTGATTGGGATTTTTTTGAAGAAAAAAATCAGTGTTAATTTTATTTTCCCCTAGTTTTTTTTTTTTATCTAGTATTGTTTTCGGTGATGATAAATTTAATTTCATCAAATGTTTAATTTTAAACATTTATATTAAATGTTTCATAGCAATGAAACATTTAATAAATTACTGTAATTGTTAGAGATAACAGTGGCTAATACTCTAAGGAAGTTGGACCTTTATATTTATAGCCAAAAGTGTATTTAATCAATGTTCTAATTATTTTTAAAATCACATTTGTTTTTAGAAATTTTTTTCCTTATTTTACTTGAGGTTATTATATCTAATTTTATAATATTTAAAAGTGAACCCACCTTTCTTATAAATATTCAAAATCTGAAATTGAGTAACTGAACTTTTGGAGATATTTTGATTTGAAGGTTTTTAATATGTTTTCCATGGATTTTTTTTATTACATTGGTGTTTATATCTTGTGCAGGTGGCAGAAACAGAGTATGTTTTCTTGATGGTGAAATGACAGTAGCACTTGGCACAATGCGAGCCACAGGAGATTTTGTGACTGTGAAAGATGGCGAGTTATTTTTTTTGGGGCGAAAGGACAGTCAGATCAAACGTCATGGCAAACGTCTGAACATTGAACTTGTGCAACAGGTAGAAGTATTTAAATTAAATACTAAAATATCTATTCATACATGTAGGTACTAGAGGCAGGTACCACCAATTTTCTATGCTGAGATTCTCTATCAGTATCATTTAAGCCTAAGATTTGGGTATTAGTGATGAATTGTAATATAAGGTATGGATAATTCAGTGTGCTCTTTATTCCTAGCATGAAGAGATAGTTTTAAAAAAATAAGTGACAAAATGGATTTTGATAACTGAAAGTTAATTGGTTTATTTTGCTGTAAAAGCAATTATTTCTGAAAAATATTAAGAACCTGTGTGTTGGTAATAGTAATAGAACAGTTTTTTTTAATATCTAGTGTATTTCACAATGTAATTTGACTATGTTGATTTCAGACATAATAAGGTTGAGCATTTAGGAAGTTTGTTTTTAAATGTCCTCACTGGCAAATTGGGATGATCTCTGTCATAGGTTGCTGAAGGACTTCAGCAAGTGGAGTCCTGTGCAGTTATATGGTATAATCAGGAAAAAGTAATTCTATTCATCGTGTCCAAAACTGAATTAGTAAAGGATTACATCTTTAAAGAACTGGAGAAACATCTTCCAAGTCATGCAATCCCAGATGAGCTTCTGCTGATTGATTCTCTGCCATTCACATCTCACGGTAAAATCATTTGAAGCAGATATGTGCTAGTGCCAGAAGATACTAATTGTATTCATAAATAGTGTAAAGGCCATGCAGATCCTTATTATAAGTACCGTATTTTGCTGTGTATAATGTGCGCCCACAATATTCTGCACATTATACACAGTATTGTTACACCTGTGGTATATAATCATTATACCCATGTATAATGCACACCCTTATTTTTCCCTCAAAAATTTGGGCAGAAAAGTGATATCGTGCATGTTAAAATAAAGTGATATGGAATATATTGTGGTAAACACTCTGTTAAATGTTTTGTATAATTAACTCAGTTTATCTCCAGAAAATCTTGTGAGTAGGTATTATTATTCCTATTTGCAGATGTGGAAAGTAACACTTAAAGAGATTAAGTAATTTTTCTGAGAGTACAATGCTGGTTAGTGGTAGAGTTGCAGTTTTGTTCAGGATTGTTTGACTTTGAAACATTTGCTCTTAGGCCCCGGCTGGGTCACTTAGTTAAGAGTGTCGTCCCAATACGCCAAGGGTGTGTGTTCAGTCCCTGTCAGGGCACATGTACATGAATTAACCAATGAGTGTATACATAAGCGGAACAACAAATTGTGTTTCTTTTTGTCTCTCTCTTACTTCCTCTTTATAAAAAACATCAATAAAATTTGCTCTTAATTATTATATTGCCTTCCCAATTTCATCTTCATTTAATATTTACTTCAAAATGCAATAATTGCCCAGTTAATAGTACCATTTCTTTAACTCTTTAAATAGAAACATTAGCTCATCCTCTTTTCTTATCTGTATCTGTATTTATTACCCATTACATTCTTGGTAGGATAGGACTGCTTTCTTTAGAATGGATTATCTATGACAAACTATTCAATAGATTTTCTAACCTTTACACTGAAAAATGTGTATATTCTTGTGACTAACAAAGATAGAAAGGGTTTGAGCCAAAATTTAAACGTCATTTCTTTTTTATATTAAGGCAAAATTGATGTTTCTGAGTTAAGCAAAATGTATTCAAACTACACAAACTTGAAGTCTGAGCATAAGCTCAATGGAAAAGAGGAACTTTGGGAAAAACTACAGCATTTGTGGAAGGTACAACATTTAAGATGTAAATTTTTTATTGTAAAGAGGTCATTTAATATCTTTAGGGAATGATAGCATCCTAATAAGTCCAATAAAATTTTTGTGGAATGTTATTGCTGCCCATGTGGTAAGAGGTATAGCTTCATTTATTCAATTTGTATTAAAATAAGGGTTAGGTTCTCTGCTGTGAGATTAAGTTAAGCTCCCTATACAGAAATTTACTGGACGTGAGGTAGTCAAAAAAGGCACAGGTGCACAAAACCTATCTTGACGTAACTGATCCCTAGGAGAGCCAGTGGAGTGTAGTGACGCCCTTGTTACAGTTAGGAAAATGGCCAAACCTTACTGTACCATAATCTGTGGTATAAGGGGGCACATTGTTATTCTAGAAGAAGTTTCAGCTACACATGTATTTCTGCTTAAGGGAATTTCTATATTACATATCTCAAACAATTTTTAAAATTTATTTTGACATATGTATGTATTTTTATCACAACCATAGGTCAGTATAATTTTTCTTAGATAAAATGTGTAGTTTTCTAAAGTGTTCTGAAAAGAGGGTGTAATTGTACAGTCTTGTCTGAAAATAAAGGGTATCCAGATAAAAGTCTTAATCTACTTCATTTTTAAATTTTAGAAAATAATTTTGGTTTGTATGAAGCAAATGAGATAAATATTATTTCCATATTATAGAAATATCAGAAATATCAGAAACTTGAGGGCTTTATAATTAGTAAATCAAATGTTTTTATAATTCCATTCCCTATTTTATGGTTAGGAAAACTGCCCTAAAGAGAAGTGTAATGTGAATTTTAGAGTGAGTTTGTGGCAGAATTGGTAGCATAGAGATGGTTTCCTTTATTATAAACAAAATAATTTTAAAATTTATTTTAATTATTAAAAACTTTTTGTCTTATATTTATATAATTATTATTTTTAAGATTTTATTATTATTTTTTAAGATTTTATTTATTTATCTTTAGAGGGGAAAGGAAGGAGGGAGGGAGAGAAACATCAATGTACGGTTGCCTTTCGTGCGTCCCCTGCTGGGAACTGGCCTGCAGGAAACCAGTCTGCAACCCAGGCATGTGCCCTGACTGGGAATTGAACTGCAGTTGTCTGGTTCTGGTTCGCAGGCCCGTGCTCAATCCACTGAGCTACACTAGTCAGGGCACATTTATATAATTATTGTAGGTGCTATTCTCTCTCTGTAAATTACTTATAAATGTTGAATTCTGAATCTTTTGATTTTAGGCCTTTATTTCATCATATTTCTCCCTTCTCTCATCTGTAGTCCATTCTGAGTCTCTCAGAAGATTCTTTGAAGGTTCCAGATGAGTCCCTCTTCTTAAGTAGTGGTGGAGATTCCTTAAAGTCTGTACGGCTCCTCAACGAGATTGAAAAACTGGTTGGGATGTCGGTACCCGGGCTCCTGGACATTATCCTCAGCAGTTCCATTTCAGAGATTTACAGTCACGTCCTTCAAGCAGTGTTTCCAGATGAAGACCGGACATTTAGCAAGAATTATGCCAGAAAAAGAAAATTCAGCGACATTAATCAAGAAGAAACCAGTGGAGAATCTTTACATCAGAAATCAGTCGTGCCTTTAAATATAGAGAACGAGATAAATGCTTTTATTGCACTGAGCAGAGGGAGTCAGGTATTGCCTGTGAATACCACTAGGTTTTTATGTGAGTTAGGACATCGCCCTTCAGCCTCTTCTTCTGATTTAATTTCACAGCCTAACATTCAAAAAGTGCAAAGCTTAAGTCCGCCAGCTTGTATTGGGAAGTCAGAAGATTCAGCCTGTGTTGAAGTGTGTGAAGGTGGACCTCCTGGGACAGAGGCTGAGACAGTGGAGTTACGTGTGAGGTGGAGGTCAGACACAGGCAAGTGTGTGGATGCTTCACCTCTGGTTGTAGTACCCGCTGTTGAAAGGTCATCGGCAACTGTATACATCGGCTCCCATTCTCATAGAATGATGGCCATTGACCTTTACTCCGGGAAGGTGAAATGGGAACAGATTTTGGGAGATCGAATTGAATCCTCAGCATGTGTATCTAAGTGTGGAAACTTTATTGTAGTAGGTAAGTTTCTGAATTTGAGGTTCACAGAGTTATATTTAATTACCATACAATCATCTAGTTAAGACGAAGTTAAATAAAAAATAATAACATGTATGGTGGATTGGGCTGTCAAAGAATGATCGATCGTTAGCCACATGCTGATTCCCACAGTGTGAGCCACGGGATAGAGTCTCTGGGTCTGAACTTGGCTCTAAAGCTGTAACCAGCTCTGTGACCTTTGACAAGATGCAGAATCTCAGAATTTCAGTTTTCTCTTGAATTTGTGGACATAGTAAATAAAACATGTTGCTGCATCACAAATTATCCCAAAATGTAATGGTTTAGAGTAACACATTTATTAAATCTCACAGCTTCTGTGGGTCAAGAATTCAGGCGCGGTGTAGCTGGAAATGCCCGCGCAGGGTCTTTTACGTGGCCACAGCCCTCCAAAAGCTTGACTTGGGCTCACTCACATTGCTGCTAGCAGGCGGCTTTTGTTCTTTGCTGGATCTTGGCAGGAAGCTTCAGTTTCTGCCCACATGGGCCTTTCCTTGGGCTGCTTGAATACCCTCACATGGCAGCAAACTTTCCTCAGAGTAAGTGATCCAGGAGGGAAAGGAGGGGTGCAGTGGTTTTATGACCTAGTCTCCAAAGTTGCATACCATAATTTTTGCTTTATTCTGTTCATTGGAAGTACCTCATTAAATCTGGCCCACACTCAAGTGTTGGGGTGGGGTGAGTGTGGGGAGTTGGGGGGTGAGGGATTAGGCTCTTGAAAGGAAGAGTATCAGATAATTTGTAGACAAAATTTAAAACCACCACAATCATAATAGAGCTTTTGAGAGGACTAAATGAGATCAGTGCTTGTGAATGTCTTAGTACATTGCTAGGCACAGACTGAGTGCTCATTAGGTGTTAGCTGCTATGCAGTTTCATTAAGAGTGGGTGACTTTTACTTAACTAGTGCTGTGGGGGTTCAAGTGTGGTGCCTCTCCGTTTTACTTCCCTACCTGCATTAGGTTTCATTTTACATGTTACAGAATCTGTTAATCAAAACTTTTCAGCCTAAGTGTGTAGAAATATACCCCCTGCTTGTGCTCTCCTAGCTGGAATCTACTTGAATCTGTGTTTGATCCTTCCCTTTCGAACACCTACATTTTGGAAACTAAACTATAGGAAACTTGCAGTTGCACATGTGAATGATCATGAGTAATCCCAATCCAGGGAGGTCAGCTCCTTGAGGTTACTGTCAGCATCCCAAGTGTCTAGACTGAAAGCTTATGGTACATGGTGGTCGCTTAATACTTTAAACAAGACATTGCTCTTTGGCATCACTCAGCAAACTGCTCTCTCGCTACAAGCAGTAACCGCCAGGAAAAAACAAAACAAAACAACCCAGCACAGCAAGTGTGCTGGAAATCGGGCTTCAAGTGAGCAGCAGTGGTTAAAACCACAGGTGGAAACAGCTAGTAGGGGTGTCCAACCCATGGCCCACAAGGTGCATGCAGCCCAGGACAGCTATGAATGTGGCCCAACACAAATTGTAAATTTACTTAAACCCTTTTTTTTTTGCTCATCAGTTTTTCTTAGTGTTTGTGTATTTAATATATGGCCCAAGACAACCCTTCTTCTTCCAATGCGGCCCAGAGACACTGAGAGGTTGGACACCCCTGGTAGAGAATGATGGGCCAGCGCCCAATTCAGCTTCCCCAGGGAACCTGAGTGATCTTTGCTTTGTGGATTTTGACCATCCCCACTTCCACCTGGGTTATTTTGGCTACGCCAAGTCAAGGGCTCCTGCCCTATCTCCTCATCCGTACCAGCAGTGTGGGACAAGCAGTCCAGTGGAGCTGTAGGAGCACAAGCTCTGTGCTGGATTTCTTGGATCCGGAGTCTTCTCTGCCACATGTTAGCTGAGTGGTTCTGCCCTGGCAACTCAGTCTCTGTGCTGCAATTTTGTCACCTATAACATGTAGCTATAATGGCACTTGCTTCTCTGTGAGGATTAAATGAGTTAATAGATATGAAATTCTTAGAATAGCACCCTTCACAAGATGAACACCATTTTTGCACTGGGTGTTTGTCTTGATTTTTACACCCCCACAAGTGGATGTATCCACATCAGCAGAAAAATAATCTGAGGCTTAGCAATGCTGGCTAATTAATGCTCAAGGGTAGCCATGACTAGGTTTGAGACCAGCTCTGTCAGAGCCGCTGTCCCCTGCAGCAGCCTTTCCTTACCGTGAAACACTCTGCAGTACTTTTTAAAATAAGGTAAGCCTACTGAGTAGGTATTTTACATAAGTGATTACTGTGCGGTTTCTGCTTTGCGTTGCTGCAATTTGAACTTGAGCTGCACGTGGACCCTAAGTACACATGAAGAGCATTGAATATCAATTGTCATGATTTAGGCTGAAGAATTATTTCCTAGCAACATCTCAATCTCAATTTTTATATTTTGTTTCCCAACAGGCTGTTATAATGGGTTAGTTTATGTTCTGAAAAGTAATAATGGAGAAAAATACTGGACATTTACTGCTGAGGATGCTGTGAAAAGCTCCGCAACCATGGACCCAACCACAGGACTCTTTCACCTTGGCTCTCATGACCAGCATGCCTACGCTTTGGACATTTACGTAAGGATTCACCTCATCAGTCTCCTACATGGCAGAGTATGAAACTGTCCGGTGCTGTTGGCAAGGGGTACGGGTGTTAGCTATTTTCCAAGTTTAGCATTGTGGTCTGGGAAGAATAAGGAGTTAAATAGTCATATCTTAAGACTTTTTACTTCCTTACCAAATTTGCACAAAAAAATTTGCTACTCAGAGTTTTGGAATATAAAGAACTTAGAATTACTATCCTGACAATAGGAAAGAGTCACAAAGAAAAATATCAGAAGATGGAGGCGTAGGTGGAAACATTGTGTCTCCTCACACAACCAAGTTTAAAGACAACAAAGTTTTGGTAACAAAAACGCAGCCAAAACACAGAAAATTGAACTATATGGAAGTCCGACAATAACAAACCTTTCAGCCAGACCGGTAAGAGGGGCGGAGCCAGTGACTGGAGGAGCAGGGTTGCGCAGGAAAACTTGGCCAGACCACCCCAGGCTCGGAGTTGTGACAGGCAGACTCAGTGAAGGCGCAAGGCAACAGGCTGACTGTAGTCACACATTCGCATGGATAAACCAGGCGAAGGAGTGAGCAGTAAGACTGACGGTGCAGGCCCCAGCAGCAGGAAGCAGCAGAGGAGACCACTATTGCCCCGCTCTGACGTTCTGACCCCACCCCCACATACAGCGTCACAAACCAGCGACTGAGTTGCCCCGCCCTGGTGAACACCTAGGGCTCTGCCCCTCATACCTAACAGGTGCGAACGGACCAAAACATTATGGCTCAAGAAGAACTCAAAGCCCCAGAGCCAGTAACTCTAAGCAACCAAGAAAGAGCCAACCCATCAGATTGCACAGTTCAAAACACTTGTGATCAGGATGCTCACAGAACTGGTTGATTTTAGTCACAAATTAAAGGAATAAATGAAGGATAAAGTAATTGAAATGAAGGGAAATGCACAGGAAAGCAATAGTGATGGAAAGAAAACTGGGACTCTAATCAAGGGAGTGGGCCAGAAGGAAGAAAAAAATGACCAAACAGAAAAGGATGAAAAAACAAGAATTCAAAAAAGTGAGGAGAGGCTTAGAAACCTTCAGGACATCTTTAAACGTTCCAACATCCGAATTATAGGGGTACCAGAAGGGGAAGAGGAAGAGCAACAAGTGGAAAACTTATTTGAACAAATAATAAAGGAGAACTTCCCCAATCTGGCAAAGGAAATACACTTCCAGGAAATCCAGGAAGCTCAGAGAGTCCCAAAGAAGTTGGACCCAAGAAGGAACACACCAAGGCACATTATCATTACATTAGCCAAGATTAAAATGGAGAGAATCCTAGAAGCAGCAAGAGCTAAGGGGACAGTCACCTACAAAGGAGTTCCCATCAGACTGTCAGCTGATTTCTCAAAAGAGACCTTACAGGCAAGAAGGGGTGGAAACAACTATTCCAAGTCATGAAATCCAAAGACCTACAACCAAGATTGCTCTATTCAGCAAAGCTTTCATTTAGAATGGAAGGGCAGATACTTCTTAGATAAGATCAAATTCAAGGAGTTCATCATCACCAAGCCATTATTATATGAAATGTTAAAGGGACTTATCTGAGAAAAAGAAGATAAAAAAGATGAACAGTGAAAGGACAGCAAACTCACAGTTATTAACAACCACACCTAAAACAAAAGCAAACTAAGAGGACAGCTAGATCAGGAGCAGAACCATAGAAATGGAGATCACATGGAGGGTTAGCAACAGGGGAGTGGGAGAAGGAGAAGGGGGGAGAAGGTACAGAAAATAAGCATAGACGGTAGGTAGAGAATAGACAGGGGGAGGGCAAGAACAGTATGGGAAATATAGAATCTAAAGAACTTGAGACACGTGGACATAAACTAAAGGGGCGAATGGTGGGGGAGGGGGTGTGCAGGGTGGAGGGGAATGAAGGGGGGAATAGGACGACTGTAATGGCATAATCAATAAAATATATTTAAAAATATCAATAAGACCTGATTACATAAAAATTTACAAAGTTAGAGTACAAAATTTAAAAGAACTTGGGGAAAAAATTGAAACTCATGTGACAGTTAAAGCTAATTTATAAGTATGAATGAAAAAGCAAATACAAGTTAAAATGAAAAATATAAAGACCCAGAAGATGATTTGACTTTGGGTGGTAGGCACACAATGCAATATACAGATCATGAAAAAAGGAAAAGGAAAAATAACAAGGGACTCCAAAGAAGAAATGGTAGTAAATGTACTTAAATATTTCAGTTCTTTAATAATCAGAGGAATGAAAATTAAAAACTGGGAGAGAAACAAATGATATTAGATTAGAATGATAACGTTAAGTGCTGAAGAGAGTCATGGAAGGTTGTGACTAGTGAAGCATCTGAAGAAAACCATTTGGCCATAGGTAACTATGTCTTATCCTTTGATTCAGTAAGATTCTTCTCGGAATCTGCCCTGGCAAAATAATCAGAAACATGGACAGATATGTGCACCAGGATGTCTCTTTCCAAGTTGTTTATAATTCCAAGGAATTAGTTGCAAACAGTTTCCAATGATGAGGTAGAGAGATAAATTATTTTCTGTTCATTTGGGGTATTATGTATTAAAGTAGTTAAATGGACATAGCATGTAAGAGACAGGGTGTGTGAATTTCTTAACCAATAGCAGAAACCAATTAATTTGCTTGCTTATTTGCAGGAAAAGAAGTGTGTTTGGAAGTTACAATGTGGAGGAACTGTGTTTTCTTCGCCTTGTTTGAACTTGATTCCACATCACTTGTATTTTGCTACACTGGGAGGACTTTTACTGGCTGTAGATCCTGTAGGCATAAAATAATGTATATTGATTATTACCTGTTTTTCTTTAATATTGTTATATTTTTACTTTGAATTCTCAACATTAGAGGTAGTTTCAGTTACATAGAATCCAGATAGCATTGAACTCATTAAGAATATGGCATGAAGTCTAGAAAGATGAGTCAAGTCAACTAAGTTCTGTACATGTCTTTTATCTATTTTTTAAGTTAACAGAATTTTCTCATTCACATTAGTAGTTCGAATGGTCTAAGGATGGAAATTAATGTGCTAGTTATTTCTTACCTGGTTGTGCTGCAGGTTTTTGTCTTGGCTCTCATAAATAGTACTGATTAATTTTATAGCTGTGCATATGCAAATCAGCCCTGTTTATAATCTCAACACGTCAATCATGTCAGCATGTCACTGTAGCATTTTCTGATTTTTTTATAGCTTTGTGTCCAGGAGACTTATGAGTTTGAATGCGAGGACTTGCTTTTTGCCCATGACAGGCCACTGGGAACAGAGTCTGGAAACATTCCTGTGGGAAACCACTCTTCTCTTCTCCACGGTGTTGCGGGCAGTTTGTGTGCATTGGCTGTGTGGATGGGAATTTACTTTGTTTTACTCACTCCGGAGAACAGGTAAAATGTTCTAGTTCAATTTCATGTATCTTTCTCAAAGCAATAGGAATTGATGACAACTGAAGTAAAATTTTAAATGTCATTATTCAAGTTGTGTTGAAAACTAGATCTGTTTTGTCAGGCCATGGGTTTCTTAATTTGAAAATGGTGCAATAGTAGGATTTAAACAATTCTATCCAAACATTGTTATACTTGTGCCATTACCCTTCCCCCAATTTTGAAAAAATACAGTTTTAAGCCAGTTTTATTTTTACTTCTGTTGAGGTTATGAAAATGTGAAGAAGCCCCTGTTTTTCCTATGAAAACAAAAATCTGTTGTGTAACCCAAATTCCATGGTGGAGATCCCATCTTCAACTTCATGACTGGCAGGGCTGGCCCCTTCTGGGCTGTATCCAGTCTCTTCTTGGGAGCAGTATCTGCACTCTTTTCAGTAACCGCAAGTGACTGTCACTGGTGGCACACGTACAGCCAGGGGTTTCATTTGGGGAATTACTTTGTAGGCTTACGGGCGCACTAGCTCCAACATACGTTAGCCCACTGATGGCTAGATTTGATTCTGTGTGCTTTTCATTCTGCATTCACCCCTCATTGCCTAGCAGTTTCTTTTGCTCTCTGTGACAATCACTTTTTGATGAAATCCTTTTTGTTCACATAATGTTTTTATTTTCAAAGTTCTTACTAAGAAGTAAGAGGCAGCAAATGCAATTACTCCTGTTTATGTGGATGAACCATAGACAGAGTAGACTTTGTCCAAGTCAGGGACAGAAGTGAGATTATAAGTCATATTCCATGAATATGCCCATTCTTTATTATGTTTGTTTTTTACTGTGCTGCTGTTAACAGTGTGCATTTATAAACACTACCTTAGACTTGTGCCTTTTCTCCTTTGTGTCTTTTCTTCAAAATATTGGCCAACAGGTTTGTCTCTAGTAGTAGCTTTGAAATAAATAGTTTATATCCACAGGTCAGACACACATCTCATAGCTTCTTGTTTAAAGTTTTAATTTAAATTATTGAATACAGATTCTTCCTTTCAGTCCACGTACTTTCTTCTCCCTCCAGTAGAGACTATAGTCAGATACAGTTTTTGATAATATACATCAAAAACTCAGTGCAGTTTTATTTTTAAACTCAGTGTCTCTAAAAATGCTAGTAATAACTCTTGAATGGGGTTCAAATTAATCTTATTTAATATTGTGCGTAGCAATGACTTGTGTAATAAGTATACATGGTGTATTTTGTGCTGGATTGTAACACTGGACACAGGTCTAACCTGAGGTTGCCACTTTTCAGAAATACCCATGTTTTCTGTGTGTAGTTATCATTCAATAGCCTACATCCCTTACCTTTTTATTAAGAATTGCATGAAGCCTTAACATACAGAATTGTTGAAATGAGATGAATGAGTTATTTTTGCCTTTTCACCCTTCAGGTTTGGCAGTTTTCTACCAGTGAGCCAATCTTTTCATCCCCATGTACTTCCGCATCAGAGCAAGAAATATTTTTCGGTTCCCATGACTGCTTTATCTACTGCTGTAGTATAAAAGGTCACCTCCAGTGGAAATTTCAAACTACCTCCAGGGTGTATTCAACACCATTTGCTTTCCATGACCACAATCATAGCAATGCAGGGTTGCTGGCAGCAGCATCTACTGATGGGAGACTGTGGGTCCTGGAATCCAAGAGTGGACAGTTGCAAAGTGTGTATGAACTTCCCGGGGAGGTGTTCTCCTCTCCTGTGGTCTGGGAATCAATGCTTATTATTGGATGTAGAAATAATTATGTTTATTGTATGGATATATTAGGGAGCAAGAAAAAATAATCAAGTATAGTCTTTAATAGACTATATCTGAGCTGTTTGAAAGTATCATTATAAGAAGCATGTGGATAGTCCTATTTCATGATAAAGGTTTTTTTGTTTAAGAAACTTGTCTATTACACTTTTTTGGAGAACAACCATGTTTTATTTCCTGTAGGAGCAACAAATACTTTTAAAAGGAGTTATAATACAAAACATATCAATATATTTAATAGCACTTTTTAAAAATTAGGTTAGAGCTATTTGTTTTTTTATAGAAGACCTCTTGAAAAAAAAGATCAGAATACACTTGGTGACTTAAAAAACTTAGTCTCTGAGGTAATATACCATTCACTCATTAATACTGAGATTCACAGCAAAAGATTTATTTTTAAAGATTTTATTTATTCATTTAGAGAGACAGGGGAAGGGAGGGAGGAAGAGGGAGAGAAATATCAGTGTGTGGTTGCCTCTTGCAAGCCCCCTACTGGGGACCTGGCCTGCCACCCAGGCGTGTGCCTTCACTGGGAGTCGAACCTGTGACCCTTTGGTTTGCAGACCTGTGCTCCATGCTCAATCCACTGAGCCACACTGGCCAGGGCCATAACAAAAAAATTTTTAAGGTAGGATCTATTCATCAAATCACATTCCTTATTGATTAATTTTAATTTTTTAAGTTGAATTTTTTGGAGTAACATTGGTAAATGACACATTTCAGGTGTACCACTTTATGACATCTGTATATCTATTGTGTGCTCACCACCTGACATCTCCTCTCCTTCTCTCACCATATATTTGACCCCTTTACTCTCTTCATCCTACCCTGACCCCCTTCCACACTGGTCACCTCCATTCTGTTGTCCATGAGTTTGTGTGTGTGTTGGCTTTGCTTGTTCATTTGTTGCTTTTGGTTTTATGGCCCACATGAGTGAAAACATACAGTTCTTGTCTTCTTCTGCCTGACTTATTTCACTTAGGATAATACTCTCAACTTGCATCCATGTTCGGTCAAATGGGAATATCCCATCTTTTTTATGGCCAGGTAGTATTCCATTGTATATATACACCACATTTTTTTTCAAATACAAGAGAAAGTTTATTTAGGAAGTTACAGAGGTAGGAAACGTGAGCTCTAGAAGAAATCGGCTGAAGAAACAAGTTGCAGAGGCAAAAGAAGGGCCCTTGGAACTTAGAAAAGTGTACTCCAAAAGATTTGAGTGCGCATGCTCTGGGAAGAGAGAGAGAAAACACTGTATGTACCGCATTTTTATCCAGACATCCTTCAAAGGAACCTTAGGTTGTTTTCACATCTTGGCTATTGTGAGTCATACTGCAGTGAACATAGGGTACATATATCTTTACGAGTGTTTGCAGACTTTCTGTGCAGATACCCAGATGAGGGACTGCTGGGTCATATGGTATCTATTCTTAATTTTTTGAGGACCCTTCACACCGTTTTCCGCCGCATCAATTTACATTCCCACCAGCAATGTGCAGGGATTCCATCTTCTCCACATCCTCCTAACAACTGTGATTTCTTATTGATAATAGCCATTCTAAAGGGTGTGAGTTGTGGTGTTGATCTGCACTTCCTTTACAACTAGTGATGTTGAACATCTTTTCATGCATCTGTTGGCCATCTGTATGTCTTCCTTAGAAAAGTGTCTCTTCAGGTCCTTCACCCATTTTTGAAGTGGATTTTTTTGTTGTTGTTATTGAGTTGGATGTGTTCTTTATATTGGATATTAGCCCCTTATGGGAAATGTTGTTTGCAAATATCTCCTCCTATTCATTTGGTTGCCTTTTTTAAAAAAGAGATTTACTTAATTTATTTTTAGAGAGGGGAATGGAGGGAGAAAGAGAGGGAGAGAAACATCAGTGTGTGGTTACCCCTTACACACACACTCCCCTCACCAAGGACCTGGCCCCAACCCAGGTATGTGCCATGGCTGGGAATCAAATCAGCAACTCTTTGGTTCGCAGGCTGGCACTCAATCCACTGAGCCACATGAGCTAGGGCTATTTTGCTGTTTTGATTGGGTGCTTTCCACTCTTCTGTATTCCGGGTTGCTAATCCATATTTATTAACTAATCTGATGTTGACCCTCTGTAATGTATTCTTCGCTTTGGGTAATGTATTCTTCATCTCTGATTGGTTCTTTATGTTCTAATTCTTCTCTCTTAATTTCTCTACTTTATTCTGAAGTTTGTTGAGCATCCTTATGACCATTTATTTGAATTCTTTATCAGCAAATTACTCATCTACATTTTATTAAGAGTTTTTTTTCTTGCTCTTTCATTTGGGGCATTTTTTTTTCCTGTCTTCCAATTCTGTTTGGTGCTGTTCCTATGAGTTAGACAAAATAGTTATCTTTCCCAATCTTGAAAAAGTGGCCTCGGTGTAGACTGTTGCTGGATGGCTTTGGCAGGCCTGTTGTGGTTGGGGTGGGCACCTGTAGTTCCCAGTGTGCCATCTGACCAGGAGTTGGTTCCAGGTGGGGCAGCCTCGTGTGCTCACTTCCTTGCCCTTCTGATCTGGGCCAGGCTTCCCAGGTGCCCACAGTGCACCCCGTTGCTTATCTGTTGCCTAAGCCTGGTCTAGGTGGGGCTGCTGAATTTGCATGTTGCAGTACCTGCTAATTCCACACTTACCCTGGATGAGGCAGCCCCACATGCACACACCACAGCACTTCGCTGGTCTCACATTTGCTCCAGGCAGGGCAGCCCTACATGCTCACACAGCATTGCCACACCAGTTCCGCACCCTCTCCGGGAAAGCAGCCCTGCGTGTGGGGACTGCAGTGTTTTGCTGGTTCATCACTCTCTCCAGGCAGGGAGTCCCAGTTTGTGTGGTCCAGTGGGTGCATGTGTCAGCATTCTGCCGTACACACTCTATCAGATAGTCTCCAGGGGAAAGGGCTCAGGTGTGAGGGCTGTGGCACCTCCTGATCCTGCTGGGTCTGTTCCAGGAAGCGTGGTCAGGAACATGCTGAAGTGGCCCTGCAGGTCAGCCAGAGAACCTGGATAGAACTCCTGCCTGCTGTCCAAGGGCAGGGGCAACGTAAACAGTGGTGCTCACCAGTTCCTCCAGTCCTAGGTAGCTCTCCCAGCTCCTGGATAGCTCCTGTGCCTCCCCTGCCTTCCACATGGTCTCTCTTGTGTGCAGAAGCTGTTCAGTTGTCCCTCAGTTGTCTCTCAGGAGAAACTGCTTTACAGAAAGATACATATTTGACATATCCTTAGGAGGGGGTGAGTTCTTCATCCTCCTACACCTCCACCTTGAACCTGCCTCCAAAACAGTATCTGTTTTTTTTTGTTTTTTTTTGCACCCGAGGTAAGTACCTCACTCACATTACTCACTTTGACCTAGTCCAGCTGCAAGGGTCGGTAGGTCTGGCCCAGGGCTGTAAGCTCTCCATGTACGCCGTGCTGCTGTTCTGTGACCCACGCTTTGGGGAAGGAGGTTGTCGGGTCGTACTGTCTGAGACACAGACCCTTGATTCGAACTTAGGATTGCGATAAACATTTTTATTTGGCCCTATTCAGTATTCTTCTCCAAAAACACCTAGTAAAAAAGTATAATAAGGTACCACATAAAAATACCTTGAAATTTTTCTTTCTCAACAAGAGCTATGTAAATAGGATGTCCCTTGAAATTAGTAAAAAGTCAACTTGAAAAGGAGATTCTGTCAGTGCTAAAGATCTTGTGGGTATTTTTTTATTGAAAGATCATTTTCCTTCCAACAATGGACATTTTACATTGAAACTTTATACAGCCAAAATCTCAAAATAATATTAAAATCACACTAAGGTATTTTCATGGTTAAGCCTCTACTTAATTTTATTGTTGGTAAAAATATTGCAAGACACTTGTAACTCTAATATTTCTGCTTTAAAATAAGCAATTAAACGTCACAAGAAGAGACAATGAATATATACTATAATCTGCTGATAACTGGCTGAAATGGTAATGTAATAGTGATTCATGTATAAGGAACAATTGCACTTGAAAAATTTAAAAAGTAAACAAAAAAGTTCTAGTTTTATATATATGTCTATGAATGGAAGTTAATTATCTATGACCTTGCTGGGACAAGAGTTAGTTTTAATTTTTTTAAAAAAGCTGTATATTTAACGTAGCAATGAGATTTTTTTTGTCTTGAATTTTTTATGTTTTTACAGAATTTCCCCCAGAATTCTGTTTTTACAGAATTTTGTTGATGTGAAAAAGACTGCAGCACGACTAAAGCAAAATAACACTTCACTGGTATTTAGTGCAAATCTGGAATATTATTACATGAAATGTTAAACATGTAGCCTTTAGGAGTTGTTGGCAGTCAGTGCTGTGACTGCGCCTTCCTCAGTACGCTCTTCTCGTCCAGGTTTGGAGGGAACTTTCACCGTGGCGTTTCTCTTGCTTTGTATGGGCTTTACCACAGGTGAGCCAGTACAGTGCCCTCCTCTACCATTCTTGGTTAATAAGTCTGACTTCTTCACTTGTTCTCTGCCATTACTAGGATATAATCTAAAGCTGAGAGGGTGAATGAAAAGGTCAATTCAGAAGAATTACTGTAGCACAAGACTCTAGGTGGAAAATTTCCTATTAAAAAGTGTTACATTAGTGAGGAAATCATCGAAACTAACAGATGCCTACATATTTGATTTGGAAATGAACATCAGTTGGAAAATGTGCATGGAGTATTGCTCTCCATAGCAACACAGAATTAGTTACATTGATTCTTAACAAACTGGAGGTCCAGTATATATCTATAAAAATCAACTTGTAAGAGTATAGCTATCAGTAATACCACACATCCTGGCTGCTACCATAAGGCTGAGCCATCGTTTGCAGAGAGAAAATGCCTTCTGTATGGTAAATACGTTTGCTGTCATTTATTCTTTAAGGTAAATGATAGAATAACAACACAGAATAACAGCACATTGTCTATTGAGTGAACATAAAGGAGAAAAATACATACTAATAAAATGTGTTTGTAGAGGAGGAAAAAAGGATGTATTTCTCCCTGAACTGGGCAAAAGATTTGTACTTATACTTTGGGGTCAGAAGCTAAGGAAATGGGAATATGCCAACACCATGAAATGTCAAGTTAGTAGCAGCAGTGTGTGGGCTTGCTGTATGTCTATGTTTCATGTGAAGCAAATTTAGGGAAATGAGAGAATATATGTGGCTTTTAAACTGCCAGGTCCCTTCTGTGTATCGCATGTGTATGATAACAAGGCCACTTAAAACTCTGAGATGTTTTTCAAAGGTAGCGAGGTGAATGCTCTAAATTACAAATGCTATTGAATAGTTGACTCTAAGTATGGATTACTCGATTCTGGTAAAGAAAGGAACTTCCCCAGGAGGTTCTTAGTACAAAGGCTCCAAATCTTACTCTCCTTTTAACTTCCCCTAAAGACTTAGGGGCTTTTCAGAGGCATGTAATGTCCGTAGCCTCTCGTACCTTGTAATGGTTGCAGAAGGGGGTGTTGTTTTATTATTTTTCTTGTCTCACCTTTGCTTTTCTGGGTGAAATGAGTCTCCCCGTCAGAGTTTTAAAAACTAGATTGCACTGGAAGCTGTGTGTCCCGAGGTTCTCAGCCTTTGGGATGTAACAGCACCCGTGTGAAGAGTTTTTGCCAGAATATGCATTTCTGGCCCCCTCCTCATAGTAGGTCTGAGGTGGAAGCCTGGGCGTCTTAAGAACACCTGCACTAGGTGGGGCTTCTCAGAAAGAGACTTGGTAGCTTCCTTTATCATAGTAAATAAAAGTGTTCCCTAGGGGCCAAACGGGCCTGATGTTTAAGTGTCCTTAAAGGAGAGCACTGGTACAGGGGGGCCCGTGGATCAACAGTGGTGGGAGTGTGGGCGGACTCGCTTTCTGCTTTCTGTGTTACAGCGTCAGTGGGGAAACTCATGAGAACCAGACTCGAGCAGAGTTGGAGCAGGGTTGGGAGGCAGACCGTTACTTGCAATTTCTAGCTAGTCACTATGTTCCAGAGAATGGGCGTTCTTATTTCTATGTATATATGATCCCCTCACCACTACTGTAGAAAAAAGTAGAAATCCCCAGACACATGGCAGGGTAAATGTTTTGGATAAAAGAAACTGGAGCATAGAGTCAAAAAACCATTACAAAGATTGGCAAAAGTACATGCTGGAGGGTGCGTGGGCGTGTACGTGTGGGAGGGCTGTGGAGTGGACGTGGCAGGCTCTCCTGAGCGGTTCTGAGTCTGCAGAATTTGCCTCATGTGGTCCCTCGGACAGAACTGTCTCTTTAGAATGAGGAGGAGCTCAAGGCACCTGGACCTAGGGTTGTGCAAATACACTCTTTACAAGGAACACCACCAGTTCTGTTTCTAAACATTATTTTAGAGCCTATAAAACATGCTGCTTTTCCCTAGCTTGGTTTCTTTACCTCATATAAAAAAATAAATAAATAAAATGGGCAAGAGAGGAGCCAATAACTAGGAACAGGATGAACAAGAGTCACTCTTTACTTAATGATCTGTGGACAGTCGCTCCAGGCCTTGGCTTTCCTTTTGGCCAAAGCCAGCCAGGCTGGTTCTGTTGAGGCGGGGGCAGCGTCCGGGGTGGAAAACCTCTTGGTGACTTCTTTCACCAGCGGTGCTGCGGGAGTCGAATCCGAGATCTCCACTAGGTTACATTTTGAAGGAAAAGGAGAAAGATGTAAGTCAGAGCCATATTTTGATTTATCATACATATGGGACTCAGGAAGGAGAACTCTGTGAAACTCAGGCATCTCCTGTGAGAAGAAAGCTGGGTGATCATTACTTTTACGTGCATCATTACGCTGACCACAGTGCAGTCAATTCTAATTTCAGAGGATTTCTAGGAACACATTTTTTTCTGTGCACAGACAATAGAAAATAAAATTTTGTGACTTTAGTCATATAGCCAATCAATTTCATGAAGAAAAAGATGAAACCAGCAGTTTGAATTTACCAAGCTGGTGAGGTCCAAAGTACCTGCCTCCACCAAGTACTCCCTGGGGTCCCTTCCTGCTCAGGTCCACAGATCCTGGCAACTCTTAGGACTCTCGGTCTTGTCTAACAACTGCTTTGCATCCTTATCACTTCTTGACTACACCACAAAGGCTTCTGAAGGTGAGGGTTTCCATTTTACCTTTGGGTCACATTTAGTGCCTGGGGCAGTGGCCCACACACAGCAGACTCAGGAAGTACTGATGGAAAAGAAATGCTTCATCCTTGTGCAGGGGCCACGCTAATCTCTGTTTCATTCTGGTCTTAGTGTATGTGCTGCCGAAGCGAGCACGGAAAAGAAATGCTTCAGAACCAAGGCTTGCTTTATTAACCCTCTGAATTGCATGAACCCTTTGGAGCTTTCAAGAAATCAGGCAGGGAAAGGTAATCTGTCTGACTTTGGAGCATTCAGTTTGCTTTGAACTCTTTCTCTCTGGCACACCCATGTAATGTACGGAACTCTCAATTCTTGGGTATAAAAGTCAAGGGAAATGATACCCGTGAGGTTCTTGAGAAATTGAGAAGTGCTCCAAAGCGGTTTTCAGAAAATTTTTTTTCTTCTCATCAGATAGTAAATATAGCTTTAACGGTGAGGCCTCTTTACATTTCCAGAAGTCAGCAAGCAGGTAACCAAGGTGCACAAAACTCCCAGGTCTGGAGTTGGGTGCCCTCCGGGAGCAGGGCTGCCCAGTGGGGAAAACAGATGCCCTGGGAGCCCCTGGAGGAAATTGTTTAGATTCCTCCATCCTCCAGGTGTTTGTAATAAGCAAATAGTTGGAAACATTACTGGATAATTTTTCCTTTCATCAGAATAAAGGATTTTTAAAAAATGTGTATGTGTCTTTTATGTGTCATGAACACGTGAACACTGCTGTTGTTCACAACCATCAAGGACTCGGGGCTGAACGAACGGCCTTGCCTCTCCCAGTCCCAGCTGCACAGATACGAGCCCTTTGAAATCCAGCCAGTGAAAAGGACCACCCCACTTTTGCCAGGGGCGTCTGAGCCGCCTGGGTCACTGATTCAGAAACCTAGCTCCTGTTTCCATCCCAGGTGCCACACTCCAGGGGAGGAGGGTTTCAGACATAACTTCCACACATGTATTTTAACTTTGTCGTGTCAAAGGAAACAGGGCCCTGAGTGCACTTTTCAGCTCGGGCTTGAAGCCAACCCCTTTACGTACAGGTGCACCCTTGCTTCGCTTTAAGCCTGTCAAAATACTGTTCCATTTAAGTTTTACCTTTTCCCCAAATCCTACTATAATCTTATCTCTTGCTTTGTGTAGAGGCCTTTATGGTCTGTTGTCTCCCTTATTACAGCAAGTTCATAAACCTAATTTTATTGGACTACAGGCAGGGGGGGCACAGGAGATGGTTCACATCACCTTGCTAGCAGTTCAGGAATGTAGCACACCACATCAGGAACTTGGAACTGGCCATGGAGGGAATATTTACACCACAGGAAATGGCAAATACTACAAACCTGAGGTCTCTCTAGTCCCTGCAGAGAGGATTGTTAAGCATGTACCATCACACCACTGACAGGGTGACCTTCTGGTGGTCATTATCCGATGAGCTTTATCGGTGCCCCACATTATGAATGGGGCTGTGAAACAGCTTGTGCTTTGAAATGCCTCAAGGGCTGCCACCGTTACTGCCCTGGGGGAATTAAAGCATGCTCTAAGAAGCAAACCCTCTAAGTCCGGTTAAGTCCGGAGGGTCCTGCTCTCACTACCTGTCACAGATGTCGGGAGGGTGTTGGCCTTTTTCAGCTGCTCTCTGCGCTCCAGCCTGGACCCTGCTGTCTCTGGTTTCTTCTCTTCCGGCTGAGCCGTAGCCTTGTGCAGGGACCCGGCTCTGCTCACACTACTGCTTCCTGGCGGTGGACTGATGCCGGCCTGGGTGGGCAGAGAAAGGCGGGGAAAGTGTGTTTTCCAACCAAGCACACGGAGAGACTGCTCAGGGCCGTGGGGCTTCTGCCTGTCAGCCCCCATCCTCTGCTCCCAAAGGAGCAGCTGAATTGCATTTGGGACCAATGTGTACTCAAACCCGGCCCCCAATCAGGAAGCAGCTCAATACGAAAGTCCCAAAGAGGGAACGCCACTTCCCCAGAAGGGCCCTATCGAATTCACTGTAAAAGCAGAGGCACAGAGCAAAGACTTTGCTCCCAACTCCCTGCTCAAATACAATCATCTTCATATTTCTTACTTAACTATTGTGTGTATGGATTGCTGCTACTAATTACATAGTGAATTCTGCCAAATCAAGTTACCCTAACAGCACAAGGAAACAATCAAATTTCTAACTGAAAATGCCTTTCTGGGCTAACAGTGGTTAATTTGTTTATCGCTCTACCCTTTTTCTCAATATTCTGTGCCACTCCCAGCTAACCTTCTTTCTTCTTTTTTAAGTCCTTGCAACCACAAAAAAGAGCCAAGTTGAGAAAGGCAAAGTTTAAGCTGAAGACCTGCTACTCACGTTATCCTTGGAGAACTTTTCTGCCTCTTTGGCCTCCCTGGCTTGCTTCCTCTCCTCCCGAGTAGCTTGCTGCTCCCGAAAGCCCTTCTGCTTTTGCAGTGCTAACGTTATCCACAGTGGCTGCGCGGTTTCAGCTTTCTCCACAAGTTTGGAGCCATCTAAAGAGTGTCTGCTCTGAAGCACTGGCTTTTCTGTGGGAAGAAAAGACTGACACTGTGACTCACGATAACAGGCATATACTTGGTCTTCATTCCTTTTCTGGCACAGAGCGCCTATGTGACGGGAACATAAAGGTGTCTCATGTTATGTTAATGAGGCTACTGTGGGACCACACTTAAGGATGGGGCCTGGTTGCCAGGTGAACCAGCTATGTGACAAGAGGCTTGGGGCTTTCAGTCCCACCCCCCAACCTCCTGGGAGGGGAGGAGTCTGGAGGTGATATAATCAGTCAGGCCTATGTAATGAAGTCTCTCCAAACTCCGCATGGATGGGGTTTCGAGAGCTAGCTTCCGGGGTGGTGAACCCGTGGAGGTGCTGCGAGAGTGGCCACCCAGAGAGGGCACGGAACCTCTGCGCCCTTTCTACACCTCGTCCTATGTATCTCTTCCTTCTGGCTGTTCACGAGTTATAGCCTTTTATAATAAACCAATGCACTAGAAAGTCAGATGTTTCTCAGAGTTCTGCCAGCTGCTCTAGCAAATTGATCAAACCCAAGGAAGGGGTTCATGGGAACCTCTGATTTTAATCAGTCAGAAGCACCTGGGTCCTAAGCGACAGACTGTGGGACTGAGGCCTTAACCTGGAGAATCTGACCCATCTTGAATTAAACTGTAAGACGCCCAGCTGGTGTCTGAGAATTGCTTGGTGGTGAGGGAACCCCCCTCCCAACATGCACCTTGGAACTGTGATCAGAATCAGTAAAACGAAAGCTGCCGGCAGTGACACTATTCTCTTCTCTCAGGGCTTCACCCCTTAAAACTGGTAACTTACTAATCAGCCCACTAAACATTCGACTGTCCCTTCCTAATACCACTTTGTGCTGATGCCCAAGTGGCTCCTCTGAGTAGGAAAGTACCGCCTTTGATCTGCAGAAAACAAGAGCATTTCTCTTCCCTGGACACAGAAAAAAAATTTTTTCCAGGGTCATCAAATCTCAGACCTGCAAGGCACCCAGGCAGCTATTTGACTCGTTGTTCTGTTTTTAAATTAATTGCTTTTAAAATTTTCTTTTTGCCAGAACCTTTCCCCCACAACAAATAATATCCTATGTGGAACCCCAAAATATGCAAGAGGAAAATGGGGCTCTGCTCTGCCTTGTGGAGCTGCTGAGGGTGGGGGGCTCTGAGGAACTCAGTGGGCAACCGTGATTTGGGTTGAGTGCGCCCCCTTTGATAGACGTTGAGTACTGGGGTCCACTGTGATCCCAGTGCCGTGCGCAAGGTCAGCCAGCAGTTAGTGTACAGGCTGAAGTTTGGGCGAGTGTTTCCGACTTCCGGTCTCTGTGCCTCTTGTGGTTCACTGCTCTGCCTTCACAGTGGTGGTGGCAGAGGTGGGGCCCTGGAACTGAGAGACCTGGGTTTGACCTTATGTGACCTTAGGAAAGCTACTTAACCCCTACCAGCTTGAGCTTTCTAATCCACAAAGTGGGGAGGATAACGGCCCTGGCCTCATCGGGATATTGAAGATCCTGAACATCAGTGCATTTAGAACAGTGCTCGTCGGCACATTGAAACCACTCTACAAAAGTGAGTATTCTTATTTATTACTTATGTTTATGAGACAGTGATTCCCTTCTTCTCCCTCAAGTAAAAGTTAAGTGCTTTTGCAGATAATCCTTCCTGCATTTGAATCCTTTACTATCTTCAAAGGAAAAGGGGTCACTGCAGTCCTGTTCTTTTGAAACCCAATAGAAGTTTCCACTTCAACCATCCAGAACCTTACCCAACAAGGCTCTCAGTCAGCAAAACTTTATATCGAGGAGAAAGAAACATAGTAAATTTGAGTTAGGAATTCAAGCACGAAAAAAGCAGATGCTGTGTAGTTTTCTATATACTTTAGATCCATAATGCTGTACAAGGAGAATTCATATTTATAATGAGGCTTTGGCAGTGCAAGATCCCTAATCATCAAATAAAGATTCAGTTATGATCTAACACAGGAAAAGAAGGGTTTTTTAAAGAAAAAAACAACAACTGGGACTCAAAGGAACTCTGCTCAATCCAGAGGTTTTGCATGCACTGGGGCTGATGAGTTTCGGTTTTTATCAACCAAGGGCCGTGCAACACCTGTTTGTAAAATGCCTAAAAACCAAATTGCCAAGATCTAAATGATGTCTGTTGAAGCTACTGTGTACAAGGACACCCTATAGTAAACATTCTATCTGAACTTGCTGAGGAAGGTCATGAAAGCAGCCGGCCAGTTTCCTGCCTACGACTCTGAACGGTGGTTATCACAAGGGTCAAAATACATTTACATTATAACTGCCTAAGTTTGTAATTGATTCAAATCATTTGAAAAGAGAAATCTGTAGCCAGATTTTAATTTCCATAGGACTGTAGTTTGAGTAGCTCATCCTAGAGTTAGGCACCAGGCGCTAATAAGGTTATAACACAGTATGTAAAGGGCCTAACAGGTCTGGGTTGTGGTTGGGGATTCTAAAATGGAGCTCCTGTTTGAGTTTCAGTCCAGCCTGCAACCAAATAACCAATGGCACCTACTCCCACGTGGTAAAGTAAAGGGCCACATCACCTAAGACAACCCAGATGCCACTGCCTCTTGCTTACACAGGAACTTCCGGGCTGTTGCCCACTGCCAGTCCTCAGGGACTCTGCACCTATATCCCAGTACTGTCTCTACTCCCTGCTTTTGCCTTATCCATAGTCAGCATAAAGTCTTTGAAAACCAACTCACATCTCTCTTCCCCACATCCATTATGTAAAAAGCTCCATCAGCTCCAGAACAAGCTTGTCTTCTCCACCGAGGCCTGCCTGCTAATTCAGACTGCCTGCCCCAGGACCTGGTCCTTTTTCTGGCTAGCACGGGGCTCAATAAACTATTTCAGAAAAGCCTTGATCTGCAAAGGTTTTCTTTTAACAGAAATGAAGAGCCTCACTGAGACTCACTGCCCCTAGGAATGGCGAACAGGTCTCAAAGGAAGGGAAGAGTTCCAGCGCCAGCTCCACCGGCTACTTCTAGCCTTGGGCAATGAGCCGGACAGAGGCAGAGTTTTCCCACCTATGGCTACATACCTTTCCTCCTGGCCTCGGGAGTCTGGGGAGGCTTCTCCTGTGGGGCAGCAGACAGAGCTGGGGATGCAGGTTTCCTCTCTGTTTCCATCTCTTCCTCCTTATCCCTTCTCTGGGCCTTCCTCTCCTCAGGGGGTGGCGGTGAGGGTGGCCAAGGGTCACCGCTCTCCTGGCTCTCCTTGCACGGCTCACTGGACCCCGGGTCAGTCTTCCCTGGCCGCCGAGCCGGCAGCTCCCCCAGGTAGGGCCTGCTCAGTTTGTAGAGTGGGGAGGGCGGTGGGGTCTTATCGGCGGGCTTGGGTGCCAGGGCTGGCTTCTGCACCACTGGCATTCTGTTTGCTGCCTTGTGCTCTGGAGCCGGGGTCTGGAGGCTGACCGGTGGGGGCCCAGGCTGGGCGGCAGGGGAGTGGCTGGAAGGGCTTTCAGCAGAGTCCTTCCAGGTGCTCGGGGCTTGCTTCCTCTCCAGAGGAAGGGACCGGCCATGCTTGAGGGCCACACCGTCTGTCTCCTTCTCTCCATTTGTGCTCCCTGGCGCAGGCAGCAGCCCGTCGACGCCGTCCCCAATGCTGCTATGCCTTTTCTTCTTCTTCTGTTCTGTCTGTTGGTCACAGTGGAAGCGCAAGGAGTAGTTGGTCCTTCTCAACTTTATTCCAAAAGGTGAGGCTTTCTCTTCCCCACCTGGCATCACGGCGTCTGGCTCTCCTACACCACTGGTGGTCTCGTTATCTGACACGGCAGCAGGCTCTGTGTGGGCCACTGCTTTCTGCAGAGAGTAAGGAAGGCTTGGAACAAGGAAAGATGGCAGGTCTTTGGCAAATTTGCATCCCTCGGTGGTGTCTGCTGGCTCCTGGTGCACCCCCAGGTTCTCCGTGCCCTTCTGGTGCTCGCTGCTATCAGCAGCCAGGGGCGGGGGCGCTGTCTCGTCGCTGGCTCCCAACGCGGGTCTTTTTCTAATGCCTTCAGCCTCCGTGCTCTGTTTGGAGGTCTCTGTGCCCCCATCGGAGAATTTCTGCCAGGCAGGCATAATGGAGAACTTTGCGTTTACTGGTGGAGTCTTCCGGAGGTTCCCCCGGGAGTCACATCGGCCCCTGGGGATGTGCTCATCACCAGGCTGAGGCTGGTCTCTCTTGCTGCACTGGTCGCTCTCTGAGTTCTTCAGGATCCTGGACCGAATGGAAGCCCATTCAGCCAGTGCGGCTACACTGTTTGGGGACTCCTGGGGGGGCCTGGCCTTCCTGTTGCCTGCCCGGGGGTCGGTGGGGGATCGGGGGGCGTTCTCCAGAGTGGGGACATCCACGTGCTTCTTTTCTTCTGACAAACCCAGGAGAGACTTGCACGCGGTGTCCTTGATCTGGCTCAGGTTGACGGCTGGGCCGCACAGCTGTGCTCCCGTGACCAGAATGGCCGTGTGGGGGATGCTCAGTGATGAGGGCAGAGTGTGGGAGGCAGGGCTGGCTTTGGCGGCCTTTGGCTCGTGGGGAGGGGAGGCAAGCCCTGCGTCTTTCACGGGCGTCATGGGGCTCAGGTTGACTTTGGGGAAGAGAATTTGTTTCCCACCTGATGACACCTGGAAAGTATAGGGTCTGGGCATGGTCTGCCTCTCATCCACTTCCTGCCACCTGAGTTCCTCCCCCTTTCTGTCTTTTTCTAGGGTGGCAGCTTCTTTCTTCTCCACTGTGCCCAGCATCTTGCTCACTTGCATCCCTTGTTTCTGGTGAGGGGATATGTTAGCTTCTTCCTCCTTTTCCTGATGGACACAACCATCTCGCCCGTGAACATCCCTCTGCTTTCCCTGCTGCTCTCCTGGTGGTTCAGCCTCCTGGCTCTGATTCTCCTCGGCATTTTCTCTTTGCCTCTCAGGTTTCGGGTGCTCTTGCTCTGGTTTTCCAGCCACGGCGACCCGAAGTGGGCTCCTGCGGCCCGACTCCAGCAGACTCTCCTCGTCCGCACTCAGGGCTTCCTGAGGCTCCCCTCCCACTTCCCGCGGCCTCTGTGCCTCTGTGTCCTCCTGCCGCCTTCTCAGCTCTTCCCTTCTCTTCCTCTCCTCCCGACGTTTCTGCTCCTCTAGCTCCTCCTGCCTTCTGAGCTCCTTCATCCGCTTCTCTTCTTCTTCCTGCTGCCTCTGCTCCTCCAGCCTCCTCCTCTTCCTCTCCTCTTCCTCCAGACGCTGCTTCTCGGCTTCCTGCCTCCTTTGCTCCTCCAGCCTCCTCTTCCTTTCCTCTTCCTCCAGCCGCTGCTTCTCAGCTTCCTGCCTCCTTTGCTCCTCCAGCCTCCTCTTCCTCTCCTCTTCCTCCAGACGCTGCTTCTCAGCTTCCTGCTGCCTCTGCTCCTCCAGCCTCCTCTTCCTCTCCTCTTCCTCCAGCCGCTGCTTCTCAGCTTCCTGCTGCCTCTGCTCCTCCAGCCTCCTTTTCCTCTCCTCTTCCTCCTGCCGTTGCTTCTCTGCCTCTTGCCTGCTCTGCACCTCCAGCTCTTCCTGCCGGGGCTCAGCCTCTTCCTCCGGATGCCTCTGCACTTCCCGCTCCTGGTGCCTTCCTTCCTCTTGCTCCCTCTGCTCCTGGCCTCGACCACCTTGCTCTTCCTGCCTCTGCCTCTCCTCCGTGCATTGCCTCTTTCCTGCATCTAGTTGTGGTTCTCTCTCCTTTCCCTCCTCATCCTCTTCTTCCTCCTCCAAGAGCTCCTGCCTTCTGTTCTCTTCCCAAAGCCTCCTCTCCAGGGCCTGAAGCCTCTGCTCTTCCAGGCGTCTCCTCTCAGCTGCTTCAGCCTTCTGCCGTTTGCACTTGGCCTCCAGTTCTCGCCAGTATTCTTCCTGGCGTCTCTTTTCTTCCTCGGAGTCCAGTGGTTCTGGCTCCTCTTCATGCCACACTGGCTTGTCTTCTGCAGGGTGTCCATTCTGGTCCAGGGGCAGCTGACACAGAAGGCCACCTTGTTCATTTGATTGATCCTAATATTGGCAAGGGAAACACAATTAGCCTTCTTTTGCATAGGCAGCCATTACTCATTCTAGTCACAAGGTAGGCAGCCCTCTTAATCTCTAAAGAAGGGGCAGTTCTCTTGGTTTTGAGATAGATTTGTAAATGCCCTGTGTACCCCCTGGCAGTCCTGTGCACTGACCGTCTGCCCTAGGACTGCGGCAAAGGGAGCCCTTTCCTTTTCTAGACACGGGCCAGAGAGCGTGGCAGGGCCCTGCCTTTTTGGGTGACTCCTTAGGGTCTTCACTGCTTCTTTCTTGCTTAAACAGCAGGAAAACCCTTTTGTTACTACCCAGAGGAGGTGGTTTGGGGCTTAAAACTTGGTCATCTTCTCCATGGGTTTTCTTGATTTCACTAGCCTGTAAGCTCCAGGAGCTCTGTGAGGGCAGGCATTTTAGTCTGTTTTGCGTTCGGCTATTACTGCCAGCATCTAGATCAGTGTCTGGTGTATATAGTAGGTGCTCAGTGAAAATGTGCTCAATAAGAAGAGAAGAAGGGGCAGCTCTAAGTACAGAGCTAGGCACTCTGAAGCTGTCACGCCAAGAGTACGTTGTGGGGGCAGGGGGGGGCAAGAACTTCATGCTTATTCTCTAGTCTCTTTATCCTTCTCAAACTCCTTTTTCTTAACATGAATTATTGTAGGAAAACCAATAGTCCAGGTTTAGAAAGAAGAGGAAAAATTAGATTTACCCTTTGTCTACGTCCCCTGAAACTTGTGCCTTAGAAGCCCACCCTGATCAAAGTGAAGATTCTTTGCTTGAGCCACAGCAGAGGAAGGCCGGGCTGCCTTCCTGCGGCAAAGCAAATGCAAGGTTCCCACAGCCCCTTGAAAGGCGGCCTCTCTGAGGCCCCCCTGGAAGGGCAACGTGCTGGAAAGGGCGATGGGGAGCAAGTGGGCTTGTTTGCCCCCCTACTCCGCAGCACACCAAGTCCCTGCCGGTCCCTTCTGCCACTGCCCAGCCCGGTATCAGTGGTGTCCAGGAAGCAAGAGCAGCTGCCTGGTCTGCAGGACGGGCTCCACGTACCCCATCCAGTCCAAGTCGCCTGTGCTTCTTTGACACCCTCTGGTTTTTTGGCTTGACAGACAGTTTGTGCTTGGCGGCACTGTTGTCTAGGCGAGCAATGGCCAGGGGGATGGCATCCAGGTTGACACTTTCGATGGTGCCAGCAGAAGAGAAGTGCCTTTTTGGCCGAGACGGTTTAACTGGAGCTACCTACGGTGGAGATTAAAACATACGGTAAGTGTGGATCGGGAAGTGACCTGTGGGGAATGTGGGGAGGGGAGCACTTCTTGGCGCCTGCGCGGTGGCGAGCAGAGGCGGCGCATCGGTACCATGAAGTGAGCACAGCTTTTGGAATCAGAAGACAGGACGCTGACTACCTGTCTTGCCAATGCTGTTCGCGTTAGCTTGTACTGAGTAACCTTTCAGGGACTAATTTTCCTACTCTGAATAATATGGAGATTAGATTGGGGGTGACAGAGCCTGAGCCCCGCCCACAGTCTGTTCTGGTAAAGTTTCGCTGGCACACAGCCACATCCATCGTCACTGTCCTTGGCTGCTTTCATGCTACAAAGGAAGAGCAGAACCGAGAGTCTCATAGTGGGACCTTCTGGCCACAAGTCCTAAAATATATATAGCAGTTTGCTGAGCCCTGGACAACCTTACCTCCACTACCTCCTCTCCTACTTTAGCAAGGAATGGGTCTTTTTCATCTTTGTATCAGTCCTCTTCATGCCCAATAGCAAATCCCATCTGGCAAGTGCTCAGTAAATATTTGTTGAAGGAATGAAGGAACAATAGTATAACATCTCTGACTAGCGCATGGAATTTCTATGTTTTGGTGCAAAAATGTTTTAGCACCATCACTCCAAAGTCACAGAGCACTGGGGGCCCTCAGAAGTTAAAGTGGGGAGCAGAAACGTGCCACACATCAGGGAGATGGCAATTCTTCGAAGGATGAATTGCGGCACTGCTTGCTTGTGGTCTGTGATACAGATGCTATCCCTTAAGCACCAAGTTGCAGATGAATGGCACAGATTTAGATGGGCCAGAGAGACTGTGGCTCAGCCTGGACCCAGGGGCCGCAATGAATCAGGTGTAAGTGAGACTGTGGCTCAGCCTGGACCGAGAGGCCACGGTGAATCAGATGTAAGAAGCCACATCTTAAACTACAGAGCGTTGATAGGCAGGCAGCAAAGTAAGGGCTCCTGGCTGTCACACACCACACCAACATGTGGCAGGGGCATTCACAGCCCCACTGCCTGGGCCAGCGGCTCTCAGGCACAGGGGCTGCTGTGGAGGAGGCCACGGTTCAGCTGACTGTCTGAGTTCTAATGGCAGCATCAGCAGGGTTTAACTGAGGGCTTGGCTTTTGGCTATTACCTTCCATATTTACCCAAGAAAGCCGAAGCACCAAGCCAGCTCCAAAAGCAAAAGAGATGCTCAGTAAATAATAATTTATGACAAGAAGCACAGAAGTAAGGAAAAATACTTCCAGCCGGTGGTCCCTAGCCTTTACTCATTTATGGTTATCTCTGAATGCATATCAAATTCTGAACTGTTGTCGAAAAGAGACAAATTAAATATTTATTTCCATCACCTAATAGATGCATGAGTAGAAGGAGCTGGAACCAAATGTAACAGATTGAAGACATAGATTAGGACTAGAAGCTGAGATTTAAATGCAATGTTTCAATTCTAGTTATTCCAGCTGGGCCTCTTCATTGTCTGGGAGGTACCACTGTCGCGGGCCACCTCCCTCAGAAGACCCAAGGACGTGCCCTGCTAGCGGTGCTGTCTGCCAGACCCCGGGAGGACGCCTGGGCCACTGTTCAGGGGCAAGTCCCCACAGGAGCGGACCGGCCTCTCCAGACGAGGCGCCCACAGGCTCTGCAGGGCTTCCCTCCGCTCCTGTGGGCAAAGACCCAGGTTTCGATGGCACATAGAAAAGTTAAAAAACAAAAATACATACAAGTAGAGAACTGATAGGGTTCTTTTTTAGGCATCTCTAAAGCGACAGACACTTTTTCCCTTACAGAGGTGGGGACCTTCAGGAATGTCTTTTTCAACAATTTAACAGTCTTGAAGTATGCAATATGCTTAGGAAAACCACCAAGGCTGACGGGGCTCCGAACGCAGGCAGGCCGGGCAGGTGGCCACTGCTCAGAGCAGGACTCCGTTCCGGCATTCGCATCGCCAAGGAAACGGACACTCCGATTCCTGCCACTGGTTGCACTGTGAAGAAATTTGAAGTAATGGAAGAAGACAGCACTGATGAATGGGAAAATGAGGCAGAAGATAGTAAGAAAAAAGGGGGGGGGAGGAATAAGGAAGCTAAATATATATACAAGTTTAAATCACGTTACCTTCTCTTCCATCTCACTTCTGGCTCCAGGCAGATTCAGAGGACTCAGAGAACCTGGTGTGTCACTAGACTGGAATGGTGAAGAGAGCAATTTGGTCACGCGCCAGGACAGGAAGTTTGGGGCAGCTAACCAGACGTCGTCTGGGCCTGGAAAGGGCCGCCCCCTCCTCCACACAGGGGGGCAGCTGGCTCCAAAGAGCCGGCCGAGGCACAGAGAGTGCACTCCCTGTCCCCCGAGTCCAACACACGTCGGTCGGGGTGGTCTCCACCGCAGTCCCTGGTGTGTTTCCCCATGCGGAGAGAGTCTGGGGGTGGGGGCCGCACTACCTGGGAAGCAGAGCTCCAACCTCAGAGCTTTCACTGTGCTGGCTGCTTCCACCCGCCTCACCTGCCAAACCTCTCACCTGTATGCCAGGCCTCTTCTCTGCGAGAAGAAGGGAAGGCCTGACCAATGCCACATGCAAAGGACTGACTGGGGAAGGTGAGTGACCAGAGGTGAAACAACTCAGGAAAGAAGGAAGAAAAAAAGGCTGAAGATTCCCACCCTGGTCACACTGGCCTGCCCTGGGAACACCCACACTCCATCACTGGCATCTTGCTTTTCTTTTTTTAAAGACTCAATTTATTTATTTTAGAGAGAGGGAGAGGGAGAGAAACACTGATGTGAGAGACAGACACGGACCTGTTGCCTCTTGTCTGTGCCCTGACCAGGGACCGAACCTGCAACCTAGGAATCGAACAGGCGACCTTTCACTTTGCAGGACAACGCCCAAACCCACTGAGCCACACCGGTCCCGGTCGCCCCTTTCTGATGACCCTCTACGCCTTCCATCTTGTATTGCCACTCTTCACAAAAGGACTTATTGTCCCCGCCAGAGTGGCAATGACGGTGGGCCCCCCTGAAGGGTTTCCTGCACCACACTAAAGCCTTTCAGGGAACGCACACCAGACTATGTCGCTGCCTGGCTTCGTGTGACTCCGAGGCTTCAAAGTCACCCATTTCCGGTCTCCAGGGTCCGGCCCCTGGGCCACACTCCACCCTCCCGTCGCCCTCCACCAGAGTCTGCCGGTCCGGCCGGCCTGTTCCTTCTTCAGGACAAGCTCGGTCCCCTCTCTGGGTCTAGGCCTCGCTCCCCACTCTGTCTAGAACACGTCCCACCCCAGGTCTGCTCAGGGCAGCTCTGACCTCTTTCTCTTTCTACTTGTCCCCAACGAGTCACTCACTTTTCCATTACCCTGTTCTATTTCCTGTGTAGCACTTTTTTAAAAAGTTTTATTTATTTATTTTTAGAGAGAAGGCAAGGGAGGGAGAAAGAGAGGGAGAGAAAGATCAATGTGTGGTTGCCTCCCATGCACTCCCTACTAGACACCTGGCCTGCAACCCAGGCATGTACCCTGACTGGGAATCGAACCAGCAACTCTTTGGGTCTCAGTCCGTTACTCAGTCCACTGAGCCACACCAGCCAGGGCCTGTGTAGCACTTTTCTTGATCTGAAATTACTGTATTTATCTACTTGTTGACTTACACGTCATCTGACTCTCCTCATTACAATACAGACAACCTGAGACGGCCCCTTGTCCAGTCTTGTTCGTCTCTGTCGCACCCACAGCTGGGGGAGCGGCAGGCTGAACAAATGACCCTCCTCCTGCCCCCGGACCACAGCACCTTGCGTGTGTTAGGTTACCAGTAACAGCGAAGACGCTCGTCTCTGGGAGATCTGTGCCTCAAAGGCTGCTGCACTGCAGAGGCTGCAGAGAGCATTTCTGGCCAAAGCGGGAGGAACGAGCCCGTCCCTGCTTCATCCGCCCTCTCTGCACGTGTGAGCGCCGGGAGTCATCAGGGCAGGCCCCGACAGAGAGAGACGACAGGTGGGACAGCCCTTTTATTTCCTTTCTCGATTTGCTCTGAATATTGCTCATCTTTCTCCTTGTCCTTAGGACATATTAGCTAATAACCAGCATGACTGCTGGGGGGGGGAGGCACGCCCATTTTAGCAGCACTCAGTGTCATTTCGGCTCCCTTGGTGGGCAGAGCACGGACAGCGCTGTGAGACCGGAAGACTCAGTGCTTTGCCTAGAGAACTCCTTCTCCAGCTCCTTTTCCACAAGAGGCCTGAGCATGTCCCTTCTGCTGGCAGAAGGACTTTCATTTCAGGATAGGCTCATAGTGTTTTTTTCAGTGTCAAAGGACCAGATTTGGAGAGGACAGTGCTGGACCAACGTGACTTTCTTTCTACACTAAGTAGACGACATGCTGGTCTGTTTGATGTGTTCTGTCTTGTTGACCTACTCCTTTCTTTTCTGATTTCCCTTTAAGTTGGTCCAATCCAACAGATCATTACTCTGTGCTACTAAGTAATCACTAGCAAAATCCTGGGGGGACAGAGATGTGTAAGTTCAACGTTTAGAAATGAAGGAAACAGGTGACACAAATACAGACGGGCTTCGGGTGTGTAAGTGCTGAGGATGCACAGCCAAGGCGTGGAGGAGACAGCACAGCCTTGGGGTGAGGCCACGTAAGGCTTCCCAGAAGAGTGAGCCAACCTGCACCTCCAAGGGTAACTGGAAGACACTGGGAGGAGCACGTGCAAAGAGAACGTCTCCTCCTCCGCCCCTCCCCCAAGGCGGTCCCCATGCAGATCCAGGCCCCTGCTCACGAAGTACTCTCCGGCCCCAGGCTGCTCATCAGACAAGCTCCTCCCACCTTTCCCCACCTGCACTGAAGACCCCCGAGTTACTGGCTGCCTGTCCAGTGCCCAACATCCTCCGGAGCTTATGAGCAGTCAAGTCATTGCCCGGAGGAGCCTTACTTTGTTCTCGGAGTCTGAGAGGACGATGTCCTGCTGAGTTGCAACTTCCATGGGACTGGCCGGGAGCAGATCCTCTTCTAGGCTGGCCTCCCCACTGTCTGCCTTCTTCATGGGAGGGGCACTGGGTGGCGGCTGCCCAAACTTGATGTTCTTGCCCAGCTGTCGCTGGAGGGAAACAAAAGAAAGGCGTTCTGAAGCAGTGAAGCAGTTTAGAGTAACTGCAGTCCGTCCCCGCTTGTCTAGTAGGCACTGAGGCAAGTTCTGATTACAGATGCTTTCTGAACACCATGCCGGCCCAAGCCCGATGCTGTGCTCACAAGCAAATGTGTCTCCCGCCTTCTGCTCGCACCCTTCCCACCTCTGAGCCGGGGGCTTTCTCATCCAGCCACCTCTTCCGTGCAGCTACCCACTTCCCAGGGGAGAAAGACCAACTCCCGAACCAAAAGCTGGGATATATGTTATGACAAAAAAATTTTGGTTGACCTCTAAATTAATTTATTCAAAAAGTCTTTTTTTAAAAAAAATGTTTTATTTATTTATTTTTTGAGAGAGGGGAAGGGAAGGAGAAAGAGTGGGAGAGAAACATCAATGTGTGGTTGCCTCTCACGTGTCCCCTGCTGGGAAATGGCCTGCAACCCAGGTATGTGCCCTGACTGGGAATCGAACCTCGATACTCTGGTTCGCAGACCTGCGCTCAATCCACTGAGTTATGCCAGCCAGGGCCAAAAAGTCTTTTTAAAGTATAAACGCTGTACAGAAAAGAGTTTCATGAAACGCAGGACCCCTGGGGAAATCAAGCCCCCCGTGACTGCTGCAACAGGGGAGCCCTGCAGCCCCCTCTGGACACATGCCCCTTGAATATTTGTTCACTTCCACTGCCTTCCTCGCCAGCCTGAACGTCATGTTCTGGCCACACTGGGTACCACTGCCAAGGTGACAAAGGCCCCAGGGCCAGCACACCTTTCCGTGATCAACACTAAAACCACGGAAGGGACAGGATCTTGTCCCGCCACCAGGACCTCCTCTTTACCTTGCTGTGGCTGCCCACTGTGAACCAGGGGACAGATGACACCACGTGGGGAAGGGACAGAGGAGCAGGCAGGAGAAAAGCATCAAGGAGGGACTGCTTGCCAATGGCTGACAGCTAACAGGATAGGAAGACAAGATGGAAAAACGGGGTAGAAATCAGGAGGAAAAATAGTATTTGGAATTAGAGAAAAGCCAGATTAGAAAAGGAAATAGTCATCTATTCTCTGAAGAAAATATATAAACATGATAGCTAAAGAAGGGGCAAAATATTTCAAGGGCTGTGGCAGAGAAAATGAAGGGCGTTCAGGAAGGAAACCAGGTAATGCCATGCGTGGTAACCCGAAACACCAGACTGCTGACCTGAGTGCCCTGCACCGGCCCCTCCCTGCCTTGGGCCAGAGCGGGTTTCTCCACCCTGGCACTGCCCACCTTTTGGGCCAGATACTTCTTTGTTGTGCGGGGCTGTCCTGTGCATGACAGGATGTTTGCCGGCACCCACGGCCTCTGGACACTAGATGACAGCAGCCATCCCTCTTCTCCCAGTGGAGACGACTGGGAGAAATTCTCTCCAGAGGTCGCCCAATGCCCCGGGTGGGGGTAAAACTGTTTGCAGTTCAGAACTGCTGCTCTGGGTCTAGGCACGTGGGTTTCCTAGTCTTTTTATGCCTCCAAAAAAGACATAGTACATTATCTGATATTTGTCTCCAACTGGGCTAATATTTAATCCCACAGAGCTGCCAGGAGCCTTAGCAATCATGTAGCTCAACCCCTCGCTTTGCGAACAAGTCAGAGGCCCAGCAGGGAGAGGTGGCTGGCCCAGGCTTATGAAAAGAATGAGTGGCCCCAAAGGACTATGGATCTTGGTCTTCTGAACCCACCTTCAGTGTTGTTTTCATTATATTTCACCAGGCCTTATACATTTGACAGCGCACTTCCTTCTTATAGGGGCAGGAACGAAAACATGATGCGGCATTTTATACCTTACTCAAGTTTCCTGGCTGAGAACTCCTTAAGGGAACCGCCTCTGCACCCTCTGAATCCACCCGCCTGCACCCGGCTCCCCCTCAGCCCTGCACGGTGGATGGTGAGGTTGCAGAGACATGAAAGAGGTAAGCCTGACTCCCCTGCCCGCACCCGCCAATCCGGACACCCCAGCATGCCAAGTCAGGAGCACAGAAAGACAGGGACTTGTGTTTGCTCTGCTGGTATTTCAGCCTCAGCCTGGCTCCCCCAACACCAACCACAGGGGAAGGCACACATATCAAAAGCCTGAGGCCAGCCAGTGAAGTACAGCTCCAGCAGCCTAAGAGGGTTTCAGGGAGCAGAAGGCTGAAAAAGGGCGTCTTCTGAACACAGGCTTAGCAGGAAGCGGCAGTTAGTATCTACTCTAAGCAGATCCATAAGCAGGCACGGTTAGAACAGCCGATGGAGTTAGACAAGAGGACAACGTCACAGGCCCGTCTCACTCTGCTGCCCTGTGGGAAAGGGGTGGGAACCCGGAAAGCAGGGGTGGGAATGGCTCCCAGCCCAGCCTCGGGTGCACCAGTTAGCCCTTCTCTGGGAGTGCGGGCTGAGAGCTGAAAGCTGCGCGAAATCCCCAAGATGAGAGCTTCCGCTGTCAGGCTCTGCCCTCTACTACTGCTCCGGAATGACTACATGAGGCGGCTTCTTCTACTTACAATGGAAAGAATAATTCTGTAATGAGCTTCCAAGGAGAACCTGGCCTAACGCCATCACGCCATTTAGTTAGGATTTTTGCCACCATCACGAAAAAGAATGAACGTGCCAATATTTTACTTCATTAGGGCCTTTTCAGAACGCTGCTGTTGGTCCACCCTGATGTTTAGGGGACAGACAAGGATGTGGCAAAATGTCATCATGGTCTCCTGAAGATGGGATGGTAATCACGGCTACCAATGGAAAAATGAAAGATAAAATGGGGGAAAAAAACCCAAAATGAACCCTGAGTAAGTAAACGAGAAATAAGATCCATGGGAAAAAGCTGGGAAATGGGAAGAGTAATGCAAAGAAGTGAAGTAGAATGTTAAGGAAGAGAGATGAACAGGGAGGAAGGTGCAGGCGCGGAGGAAATGCATGGAGAGGAAATGCATGCGGAAGAAATGCATGGAGAAGAAATGCATGCGGAGGAAATGCATGGAGAGGAAATGCATGCGGAGGAAATGCATGGAGAGTGCAGCCCAGGAAGAGCTGTGGGCAGGACTGAAGGTGCAGCAGCTGAAGGCTGAGTGGGGGAGGAAGGATGTGTGGAAAGCGAAGGGCTGATTTATGTCACAGATACGTTCAATCTGGCAACAGAAACACACGCTGTTGCCATTGTGCACCTCCGTAAAACAGCTGATTTAAATTCCCTCCAGAGGAAATAAACTCAGGCTGGTAGCTATGGGCCTTGGGCAGAGGAAGTGGGGCTGCGGGAGGGGAGGAATAGAAAGAAATTAAAGAAATGATAGGTCATCAAAGAAATGATAGCCACTGTTCAGGGACAGGGCTGCAAATTTCTGTCCAGACAAAGGACTGTCTTCACAGACACATCCTGCCACTATCAGAAAAGAGACACTAAGTGACCTGGGGGCAGGGGGACTGATCTCTATACTTTGGCATCAAGGCTCCTGCGCCTGCACATTTTCCCTTCTCTGTGGTTCCTGCTCCATCCAAATGCTCCCTTCAGCTGACTCGAAGAAGACTGGACCCTCGCCACACTCTGTGATTTACTGACAATTAAAACCTTATTGTGAAAGCCTATTTGGCCGTCTCAGGTGTTGTGTGAATGAAACACAGGGATAAATGTGGCTTTTTTGTGATTCTAATTCTGCCCACTATTCAAGCACTGTTATAAACTTTTATATAAGCAATCACTGAAAAAGCAGACTGCTAATAAATTTGCCCTTAAGTTTTCATAGGAAAAAATTACTACTTAAAAAAAATGCACTCAGGGATCCTTATACACACGATTATACCCAGAGGGGAGAGTGGAAAGTTGTGCCTATGTGGGGTGTCCGTGCCACTCGCAGCTATGAATGGTGTATCTGTTGAGACTGGAATGTGAGCTGAAAGGGACTATATTTTATTCATTCAAACTGGGCCATTTTGTTGTAATATAAAATGCTGGAGAGTGATGCTATAGGAATGCGCATCCATATTTATGAGGCTTTTTTTATGGTGTGGAAATTCCAAGCATGTCATATTCTGCAGCTCTCACACTGCAAGATTTTTCATTCTTCAGACCATGTCTGGAAGAATAAAACAGGAAAAATAAAGTTGCCATCTTCTTGAGTGGACTGCAGACACTCCCACAGTGAAAACACATTGAAAGGCAAAAGAAAAAGCATACAGATTGAAAGGCATCTACTCTGTGAAGAAGTGGCTAAGAGCAGGTATTTATTCTTTGGGTCCTTGACAGCAGCATGAGGTGTCCAAATCCTCAAGCACCTGACACTAGGGCATTTTTAAGTGAAATTCAGCTCAGCAGGAGACAGTAGCTACTGAGGCTGGAGCTTTTTCCTCTTGAGCTAAATAGTTTGTGGAATAATGCACTAAGCACTTACTGACAAAGGTGTGCTATAATTCTAAAAACTACCTGCAGGCTTAGACTGTGGTGTTCCTGAGTTTTATCATTGGTCGGTAGATAGGTCACAGCCTGGTCTGCTCTAAAATGAACAGGTCCCTCCCTGATCTGTACCCTGGGCAGCTGTGGGAAATGTCAAGGTCACTCACTATAGTCCAAAGGCAATGAAGTGCACATCTTAACAAAGTTACTCATGCTACACCAGATGAACAGAGATTCAGTCGTTTGCCACAGAAATTTTCGCAGGTGGTAGGTTCATGTTATTCAGAAAAGTGTAGGCTTATTTATGCTGTATTCAGTCATCCCCTACTCCATAGAGATGCTAACCTCTATGCCTGCTACAGATGACCGTTCTAGCAGAGATGACTATATATGGCCACTAGAGGGCAACCTTTCCAAATACACTTGTTACAGGCAGAGTTCTGTGTGTTTCCAGGGGTTGGGAAGTTTCTTAAGTCAGAGAAAAATGTTTGTTTTGTTTTGTTCTAAATGGCATTCCAGTAGAAATCTCATTTCAAAGGAATGCCTTAATAATGGTGGTTAATCAGCTTGCTAGGACATTTACTGTCAAGTAGGTTTTACCCATTACTTCTCTCTTTTTAAAATAAACACACACAGATACACAAAGACAATTTCAGACATTAAAAAAACATACATGCCTCTGACGTAACTAAACACCCTCATTCCATGCTGGAGTCTGCAGGGGGCGGTCTGTTATGCTGCTTACTAAGCATCTATACCAGCATAATGTCATGGAAAAATGCAAAGCATTCATGCAATTTAATAGAGTTAACTACTATTTCTACGACTTACCAGGAACATACTGCTTAGGCGACTGAAAAATAAAGCACAGTCTTTTGGGGATGATACAGTTATATCTTATGTCACTCCAAAATTTACATTTTCTATGATTATGGTCCCCATTTCCTGCCTACAAAAGCAAAGCTTTTAAATTTATTTTTTAAAATAACTATAGAGTTGTAAGGAAGCTTGTCAATCTGTCTCACAGAAACAAAATTAGGAAAACTTCATATGAATAGATATTGTCAAAAGAGAGGCCTCAAATTAGATAGTGTTAATAGAAAGAATTGTTGCTTTAGGGAAGTGGCTTCTTTTATGTTTATCAATTATGAGATCAAATTCTTTAAAATTGTGCCTTCCTGCTAATGGGAATGACAGGCAGTCATGTACCTTACTGAGTTTCTGTATTTTCAATACTGTAGGATTACATATCATTTACCACTCCAAATCTACCTCTTGTGGTGGCAGTGCCATGTGTTGTGATGTTACAGAGTAGGTATCACTTAAGACAATAGATTTTTAAAGAAGTCCTTGAAAGTCCTCCTAAAACACAGCCGTTTTGTGGACTGAAATCTGTAAGTCACGCCTCTTAGAAAGCAGATGTTATAAGCCAGGGGTTCAAAGCTTCTGAGGAATAATAGTCCAGGAATCAAAAGATTTCAAGATGGAAGGGTAATTTTTCAACCTGTGAGAAGTGACAGCTTGCTTTTTCTCCTTAGTCTATAGATAACAGCACAGTCGGCAAGCACAAGGAAGCGACCTGGTTCGGAAAAGCTGGCACTCAAAGGAAGTGCCTAGGTTGGCTCTGAGGGCAGGACTGTGGCCTTGGGCAGTGGTGGCAGTAGGTACCAAGATCTAGACAAGTTTGGGTGCGGTTCCAGGGTGTTGGCTATTTTCCTGCTTGCCATATGCTATGTTCAGCTGAGTGTGTGTGTGTGTGTGTGTGTGTGTAATGTGGGACAAAACACCAATCACAAAATACATAGCTAATGTTCAGTAGAAATAAGAACATTTCAGAAAAAACAGAAAAATTTGAGTATAACCCTTCATCATGTCAGTACCTACTCAAGGCAGCTGTTCCTTTGTCTTGCTCATTCATTCACTGGCTCACTCACTGCTGGAGACCAGAGACAGATGGAAGCCATCGAACCAGAGTTCCCTGTTCCTAATTTGGATCGCCTCCAGGCACTCCTGTCTCAGAGAAGCGCTGGCTCAGGCACTTCTGCCGGGTGAGCAAGCTTTCCCAAGCAATTGAGCAAACAAACCTGCATAGCCAGATCCCAGGTACCTTCACTCCCTTGCTTTCCCTGGAATCTTCACTGACTGAATCACATTTAAAGAAGAATTGCTTTATTATATAGTTGACCCTTGAACAATGCAGGGGTTAGGGGTGCCAACCCCCATGCAACTGAAAATCCACATACAACTTCTGACTCTCTCAAAACTTAACTACTAATAGCCTACTATTGACCAGAATAGCTTCACCAATAATGTAAACTGCTTATTAACACACATTTTGTATGTTCTATGTATCACATACTCTATTCTTACGATAAAGTACTCTAAAGAAACCATTATTAAGAGAATCCTAAGGAAGAGAAAATATATTTACAGTATTCACTGAAAAAAAATCTGCATATAAGTGGACCTGTGCAGTTCAAACCCATGCTGCTCAAGGGTCAACTGTACTTTCATTATTAAGGAGTTACCACCCAAGTCAATTTTTTTTTGTAGGAAAACTGCCCAGTTCTGCAGCCAGGACAGAGGGAGGTTAAGAGCTTCGTGGCAGTCCTCTGAGCCAAGGTGGCTTGGGGCGGGGGCAGAGTTATAACCATGACTCTGTTCCCGGTCCAAGCAAGGAGCCCCGGAGAACAAACACTTGCTGCGCAAGCCCTTGGCTGACAGCCAGCCTGTGCTTGGGGACCACGGCAACACTTCAGTGGTCAGGAGCTCCTTCCTCCCGTCCAAGGCATGGAGCTTATCGTGGGTACTTGTCCTCATGATGTCCACTTAAACACGAGGGAACAATTTGAGAGAAGAGGAGCGGGGCTGTTATGAAGGTGGGTGCAATGGTCAGTGCCCCTCTCACAGGTGGATGCAAGGCTTAGAGAGCTGACTCGGGTTCACATAAGCAAAAATTCTCACGAGGAGCTCTCCCTGGACCTCCCCGAACATTACTCACGCCGAGCTGGGGACCTTCCCCACTTCCCTCCATAGCCAGGCCCCTCTACGGCTCTAACCTTCCAGGCTCAGGCTGTCTTACCTGAAGAGTTTTGACTTTGCCCAGGATGTTGTCCTGTGACATTGCTTGAACTGTCTGCTCACTTTCTGCTCCCCCATCAGGGATAAAAATACTGTCATGGGAAAACGCCCGGGTTCCCATAGAATAGTTGAAGGACCTGGAATGCAAATCATGTGCTTCATTTTATTAGGATGATAAAATTTCTGTTGGCAATTAGTTTCCTGTTCCTCCCGATCTGGGGGCTCCACCCACATCCCCAGTCTCACCCAGCTCCGAGTCCTTTTCTGCTGCGGGTCAGCCAAGTGGCGAGGCAGACGGAAGGGCCCCGCAGGAGTGAGGGAGCAGGTCTCCACCACCCAACAGTTCCGAGCCACTCGCTGAGAGTGCAGGCAACTCTGCAACTGTAGGGGACCCAGGACAGAAGGCCCTGCAGGACTGTTAACAGGGGAGCCTTTCTCCTGAGAGCTGTCACCATTGGTTCTACCCCAGCGGGTCTCATCACCCAACCCCTTTTAAGTAACATTCGGACCTAGAAGCATGAGACAAGAGTTTCCTTCTTTCGGATTACAATCGAATTGGAAGGAAGATATATACATCTAAAACGAGAAGTACAATTGCTGTAGGGACTATGGGGATAAAGAATCTCTCTCTCTCTCTCAACTCCACAGAAAATAGGAGAAAGGGCCATTCTGATGGGCTTCCTGGTGCAAGTGCCAAACAATCAACACGTCAGTTGAAGGCTTGGACTCCGAGAGGTCCAGACTTCTACCTGACAGGGAGGTCAGGCAGGCTGAACTGCAGGAAGCAGCAGCAGAAGCCAACTGGTCTGACCTGGTTTGGGAAACAAATGTATTTCTGGGAAGGAAGACACATCCAGGTTGTTCGAGGGGCAGGTGGAGTCACATGTCCTCCCTGAGGCAAGAGAGGCACCTTCCCGGGCAGGCACGCAGGCAGCACCCCCGGGGGTTACAGAGCACCACTCCTCCCTCTGCGTGCCCCAGAAAGGTTGTATCAGTGACCACCGGGAGGTTTCATTCGTGACCACACGCCAGAGGCAATGGGCCGAGGCCCAGCCAAGTCCAGGCTGAGTTGGGCAGACTGAGTACCAAATCTAATTTGCCAAATTATAGGCAGTATGGTTAAAAAAAAAAAAAGGCCCACAAGGTTAAGAAACAAAAGACTCGGATGTGAGCCTTCTGGGTGTGATTTCAGGCAACAACACCACCCCAACACCTCTTACACTTCGATGAAAACACTGTGCTGAGTTTTACTTTCACCATCTCATCACCAGCATCTGGCTGCAGATGAAACTCGGGGGTAAACAACTTTATCTTAAGGGATCCAATCTGCTGCTGCTAAGCAGAGTGAGAAACTGAATTCGGACCTGGTGCCTCGAAGTAGTGGAAGGTCTTAGAGCATCCCTCCCACGAGTGATGCTCTTAACAGACTACGAGAAGTCTATACACTAAGAAGCCTATTTTATAGATGAGGAAACAAATAGACTTACAAGATAAGGCTTAAGGACAGCGAGTGGCTCACCATAAATTAAGTGACTGTGATCGCAGTGTGAATCTGTTTCTGGCCTCTGTCCCACTGGCCAACTTGTATTGGTGTGCATGTTCTTCTTTTTTAAATTTTTTTTATTTTAAAAGATTTTATTTATTTATCTTTAGAGGAGAAGGGAAGGAGAGAGGGAGAGAAACATCAACGTATGGTTGCCTTTTGTGCGTCCCCTGCTGGGAACTGGCCTGCAGGGAACCGGCCTGCAACCCGGTATGTGCCCTGACTGGGAATTGAATCGCGATGCTCTGGTTCGCAGGCCTGTGCTCAATCCACTGAGCTACACCAACCAGGGCCTTCTTCTTTTTTTAGCAACTATCTACACTATCTTAATTAGCAGAACATTTAAAAAATATGGAGTGCTCTTTATTTTTGTTTTTCTATTTTTTGAGATATAACTCAATAAAGTGCTAAAACCATAATTATACAGCTTGATGAATTTTTACACACGTATGCAACTGTGTAACCCCCACAAAGATCAAAATACAGCTATTTGCTCCACCCTGGAGGTTTCCTCATGCTCTTTTCTAGAGAAAAAATCCTCTACCATTATTCCGGTAATCACTAGTCTGAGGTTCGACGCCACAGATTACACTATAGCATGTTAATGAGTCTCTGTACCTAGTAGTTTAAGTTCTCTGGCTTTGATTTTTTTTTAAAGATGGCTACTCTTATCTCTTCGTATTTTATGATCAGGTTGCCTGTGATCACAGAAAAGCTTTGTTTCTTCATTCTTAATCTTACTTTTTTGTTAGCCACATTGCATTGGCTCGGATCTTCACATACAGTTGAATAGCAGTGGTGATGGTAGACTTTGTCGTGTTCCCAAAATGAGCAAGAAAACATTCACTATCTTACCATCAGTTATGATGTTGCCTGTAGAATTTCTGTAGATTATATTACTGCTACTTTGAAAAAACAGGTAGTCTAGATTTTATTTATAGCCGATTTAAAGATTTTGTTCTTCCTCATTGCTTTTCAGCAGTTGTGGGTAGGTGTGTAATTCTTCAAATTTACTCAGGTGGGGGTATACAATACTTCTTAAACCTGTGACTTGGTGTCTTTCATCAGCTCTGGAAAATTCTCAGCCATTACCTATTTGAATACTGCTTCTGCCCCATTTTTCCTTTATTTCCCCTGTGATTCTTCATTGTAAGAACCTTTCGGCATGAGCCATACGTCTGTGCCGGTTTCTGCATCTGTCATTCTTTTCACTTTGTATGATTCAGTCTGGATTTTTCTACCAACTTAGTCTTCGGCTCATTAATTCCCTTTTGTTGTATGCAACCTGCTGTTAAAACTACCAATTGAATTCTTAATTTCAGTAGTGTTTTTCAGATATAAAATTTCTACTTGATTCTTTTTAATAGATTCCAATTCTCTGGTGAAATTCTCCGTCTTGCCAACTGTTTTTGGAAGATACTAACCACCATTATTTAAGAGTCTCTGTCTGAAACTGCAGTGTCTTAGGCCCCTCTGGATCTATTTGTATTATCTTGTTTTCCTCATAGTCTCCTTCTTAGCTGCCTAGTAAGTTTTTAATTGAATTCTCTACATCATGCATGAAAAATTGCAGAGGCTGGGTTGTTTTCTCCTTCCAGAAAGGAATTACTGGCTTCTCTAGCTGACCTCAACCCAATGACCTCAATCCAATCAGGGACTGAACGAATCACCGAGGCTGGTTAGCAATCCTGTAAGGCTCAGACGACCTCTACTCTGTCCCCTCTTCTAGGGTGTAGGTCTCCTGGAGTCTCAGCTAAGAACCTGGGTTATTTCCTGAGGTCCTCCTCCTTGGTGGGCCCCAAAGCCCACTTTTTGTCTTTCCAGTACCACTGACTGCCCAAAACCTTTCAGCCCCTAACCCACGCTGCTTTATCAACCAATGTCTCAAAAAAGTTGTTGTCCAGGTTTATGTTCATTCTTCTGGTCTTCTCTTCTCTTGGGGATTTTAGTGTCTCAAGTCCTACTTGTTGGGGCCGCCTCTACCTCTAACTTTTGTGTCACTGGCCCCATGAGAAGGCCAGCAGCCCTGCTGCCCTCTCCACCCCTTGACAGCCACCCTCAGCCTTTTTGGTCTCTTGCCCCACAGCCAGAGCCAACTAACACCCACAGGATAGAGGCAATATGCAGCGGGGCTCAGCGCGATGGACTTCCTTTCTCTCCAGGATTTCAATGCTCAAGTCTGGTTCCTCAGCAGTAATCTGATGCCTTCAAACAGAGGTCTTTAAAATTCTATCCATTTTTTCCAGTTTTCTTGGTGGGAACACTGATGTGCTCCAAGCAACTTCATTACAGCCCCAGGTGAAAGGGATTAAATAACTTTTTGGCATTTATAAAGTATCTGCACATTAGAACATACTTGTTAATAGGGCCATTGCTCTTAAGAGGATTACTTTGCAAAGTGTCTCAAAACAGTTGTACTTTTCTCTCCTTATAGCTGGTTTTTGTCCCATTTTAAGAAGAAAGAGTGGAGGAGTATAGTTATTGGTTTATTAATTACAAGAATGAACAATCTCTTTCTAACAATCCAGTTTCCAAAATGCAAATCAACATTAGATGCTTGTCAATTTGGTTAATTTAAATTTTTTTCGTAATCATGGTTACCAGTTCTGGCTCCAAACAACCCTACAACATAGTTTACTTCCTATTCTCTGAAGGGAAAGCTGAGATGAAGAGTGGGTACTAACATTGCCTAAAGTTCCGGAGTTTGAGGCAGGGCTGGAACTGACACTGGAGAGTCCACATGTGGAGACCGCAGTGTGAAACTATGTTCTCATGAGCGAAGAACTTGGCGGACTCGCTGTCCTTAACCAACTGGGAACTTGGGATTACATGATTGGGAGGTGAAGGGGTAAGTCACCACAAACGGTACCTTGGCAGAGTTCATCTGGACTTCTTTATTCTTGACATTTGAAGATCTTTCACAGCCGATTACAAAGCAGGCCTATCCTCCCTCTTCCTTTTACTATGAGGGAGCCGAGAGGCGAGGGGCCTCGGGGCCTCGGGGCCTCAGGTCTGCTGCCCTCCCTCAGACTTGATGTGCTCACGTGGGAGAACCAGGCCCCGCTGCATGGGAACCTTCTCTCTTGATGCCGAGAACACGGAGCAGTCTCTTGATCATAAAAACAGACATAGAAAAACCTCTAAAATCCCCCAGATTTTTAACTTCTAACCAGAGGGTTGTTGATATAGTCAATGAACGGTCATTTTAATTTAACTAAGATCTGAAGTCAAATGCAAGCATACGTGGTAAAAGCAAACTCTGGAAGAAGAAGAGAGGCCCACTTGGGAAACTGAGAGCAACACTGGTCTCTGAGGAGCTGTTTTCATAAACTGAGAGTAGAACCACAGGCATGACTTACAGAGGCCGGAAAAATGGTCCCTTCAGACTTGGAGTCAAGGCAGCAGGAGTTCCCAGGAACTCCGGGACAGAAGGGAGCACAGTTACGTTCTTGTAACTCTCGTTTCTATATACTTGTCTTGGCTGTGCTGTTGTTGTCATTGATGTTCCTGTTATTGGCGGAGAGGTTCGGATTCCAAACATCTAATCAGAAGTTTCTAATCAGCCCAAAAAGACCAGCCTTCGGTGCTTCCCCT